TTATTTAAATCGTGATCTAAGAGTTACGTCAATAAAATGACTTGAATCAAAAATTGTGATTTAAATCAAAATAATTACCCTTAAGTCAAAACAACGATTTTTTAAATGTTAATAATAATTTTATGGTATTAATGATACTGATATTATTAATCTCTTGTAGATACAGATGATAATAAACCACTATGTTAAGAATTTAAAACGATTTATTTTCACTTACAAACAAAATAAAAACTTAAAACACATTTTTTGAGTATATAGTAGACAATCAAAATAAAAACTTAAACCACCTTTTTTATTAGAGTAGACATACAGGGAGGCTACTTTTTTATATACATAAATGGGTAACTTCTAAACGGTAAAATAAATAAAAGTTGAAGCATTTTTCTTAAAATCGCCGTATTTCAAAAACTGATAACTTGTTGTTTTGTTAACTTTTGTTAGCTGGTTCAACATCCATCTAGAAAAAAAATATTCCTCCCTTAAGGGAGTAATGATGGGAGGTTCCAAACTCTCGATGCACGACCGCTCAAGATTTACAACTGCTCACTACCGCTCACGACTACTCCCGATTCACTATTGTTCACGATTTACGACCACTCACGACTGTAATAATTTAAGACTACTCACGTTCACGCACAATCACGTTTGAATAATTTTATTCTATTTTATTTTATCTTTTTTTTTTGTCGTAATTATTTACTTAAACAAACCGAAACACCCTGAATGATATAAACACGTCTTTATAATATTTATTCGTCCTTACCTATTAATCGTTTGTTTCCACTTTGCACTAATAATCACAAATTAGACCTAACTACGCACGCATAATACGACGAATGTTAGCAAACAAAATAACAAAATTATAAATCCCCACTTTTTTTTCATTCATTTTAGACAGGACACTTTTTAATGTAGCCGTCAAACGGTTCCGAAATGCTAACTTTACCGCGGCGGTTTTTTTATTCACTAGCGAAAATGCCGCTGTTAAAAATTTACAAAAAATATATGAAACATCTGACTTAAATATTTTCTAAAAAGACTTAAATCTTTTTCAAAAAGACTTAAATCTTTTTAAATTACTTAAATAATTTACCGACTTTTATAAAGACTTAATTCTTTTTTTGACTTTAATCGTTTCTATCTGACTTAAATCGTATGTACTGATTTAAGCCTTTTAATAATGACTTATGTTTTTTCTATTTTGAAAAAATAGTCACAAATCATTTTAAAAATTACTTAAATATTAAGTCTTAAGTCAGTTTTAGAGAAATGACTTATTACCAAATGACTTAAGTCATTAAAACGATTTAAATCAAAAAAACGATTTCAGTTTTCTGAGATCTTGCAGCTCTGTTACTACCCCACCAAACTCAAATTCCTTTCTAGAAGCCCAGGCAGGCGCGTTGGCCTCGGGGGGGTGGGGGTGGTTGGTAAAATATAAGAGTATATACTTTTTCCACATCTATTACAGAATATGACCGTTCTAATATCACTTTAATGTGGAATTACATATACAATAAAGAAGTATCGCTAGTAGCGCCACCACTCGGCTGTTTTCATCGTAACAACTTTTAATAATCAGCTGTTAAACGCTTATGTTATAAACGAGTGTTTTTGAATATAAAGCTGGAAAATGTTAAAAAATATCGAAAAAAAAAACCGTGGCTCGATTTGTTGTGTTGTTGGGTGTATTTCTAGGAGAAATCCTGGGTTAAGTTTTTACCGGTTTTCCAATAAACAGTGTTAATCTGAATGAAGAAATAAATTGCTTACATGTAGACTGCAGTCTCTGTAAATATAAATTATACCTATTAGATACAATAAATACACATTTTAGTAGTGATTAACGTGAAAAGTGTAAATATTTCAATTCAGTAAAAATCGTCAAACAAATAAGTCGTCTAAATTTAAACAGCATTTAGCATTATTAAAAGCGTTGATTAAGAAAGTCTCCACTCAACGGTATAATACCATAATATTATGTAGCCATGAGTTCGTATGTATATTTTGTTGTTTAAAATGCAGTTGTCGGCGTTTTTTAAAGAACTCAAATATAAAAATGGTTGATTTTAGGGTTATGTTTGTGCAAAAATAATTTTTACCCAATTTCTTCAAAATGTCCAAACTTAAATATAAATTATATTAGGTAAAGATATCATTAGTTAATTCTGCACCAACAAATGTACTTACCGAATTGGATCCTTTGGCAAAACATGAAAATGCAACGATTTAGTTCTTGAATTTTATTTACAATTAAAAACACAATATTTCACCATGATAAAATGCACACACTAACGTAACTATATAAGCATTTAAGCGTTGAGTTTCTTAATCAATAATATAAGGAATAATCAATCAAAATCGAGTACTAAAAAAGTTTTTTAATTTTTTCTTTGCAACGTAAAACACAAATAACGTGCGCGATTTAGCTGTGCAATTGACTGAAATTTGTCGAGTAAGACTTCTGCCTTCCTCTCTTTTGTGAAAAAACTACCTATTTATTTAAAAATGATGTATAATCTGTGCTTTAAATGTATTGTTGACAATTCTTAAAGTCCCGCAATGCTATAGAAGTCCACCAGATGGCGCGCGCGTTGCGAAAACCCGATACTTATTTAGCGTATATTCTTTAAAGTGTTACAAAATAAATTCATTATATAGAATGATATATCATCTGATGACGCAATAAACACTGGTGGCGACATCTCTGTTTATTATCTAACAACTTTTAGATCGATTTCACCTCACTTTCTCCCAATAAAATTATTTTTCTATGGTATTATTAGAAACGTTTGGAATTGCTTATTCTGCTCTCGTAAAACCGTCAAACAGGCCTTCGGCTCGTGTGACAAACTTTTCACTCGAGCTGAATATGCTCTATTTAAAACTTGTTACAGTATATACTATTTTTATAAATGAAACTATAAAAATAATAAGCTTGTTACGATTTCTAAAAAAATCTCACATTTTAGGGGGGGGTTAAACCCTTAAAACCCCTCATGCCCACGCCTCTGCTTAACTATTACTGGATAAAATTCGCGTTCATAAAATTCTGGTTAGGGAAATCATACACAGTAAAAATATATCGCTGGTTTGATGCAAGTCCATTTTTAAAGAATTTGAGAAAAACACTATTAAACATTTCTATTTATTGTAACTAAAAGAATGACGCAAAAAACAATTTAGTTACAATAAATAGAAATGTTTAATAGTGTTTTTCTCCAATTCATTGAAAATAGACATAGGATAGTCTTGCACCAAACCAGCGATATTTGTTAATTTTAACCAAACATTAACCAGATTTTATGTTAATCCAGGTCCACCTAACTTTATGTTCAGTTTACTAATTTACTAATTAAATAATTGTTAAGTAGTTTGTAATTGTAACAGAAATTTTGTAGATTTATTAATTACATTCTGTGTCAATAATTCAACCATAATTCTTGTAATTTTCAAAAAGGGCCTAATTTTTACAAACCATTTTGTAGACTCAGTAACAAAACTATTTGTTGGAAATTGGGAACTTAAATAAAAAAAAAATGTAATAAGAAATGTTGCTTTCCTAAACAAAAAAATATTAACTCAAAAATAAGACACTCACAATTAAATATCTCACCATTCTGAAATCATCAAATTATAAGGAAATTTCGTACAATATAAATATCAGGACTACTTAGTCACTACTATAGTAGTATACACAACACTTACTAATGTATTTCGTTACTTTAACCCACTTCACTGTATACCCTAATTTCAGTTTGAAAACCAGCGATAGCTTCTTTTTTAGGATACTTAGCACTTTGCACACTCGTTAAATAGGTAAAAGGAATCCGAATAGCAGACCATAAGTTGCAGAAAATGTTTTGATTGACAATGATGTCACAGGAAGGGAGTCAAAAATTGACAAAAAAAGCGTATTATGTATGTACACGGGTCCTTTCTAAAATTATTTTGCATTAAATTTAATAAACCCTGATAACTTTAACGAAGTGTTTAAATAATATTGCAAGTTAATGGTGATGGAAATTAAATTACTCGAAACTTTGAAATATTATTTACTAATTGAAGTGATAGCTACATTGTAACATTTATTAGGCGGGCTAGTGGCAATGGTCACGCGAAATATAAATTTCTTTCAAAATCCATAACTTGTTGGATAATAATCTTAAATTCTTAAGTATTCTTGAATAGTTTCAAACAATACATATACAGGGTGTAACATAAAAGTTTTAAAATATTAAATGGTGGATTCCATATTAAAAAATAATAGGTTTTTTATTACGAAGTTATGTTCTACCAGTGCTGGTTTAAGTTTTCGTCAGGGCCCGGGCGGTAGGATATTTTGGGTCCCTCCAATCCCCTCAATATTTTTCTCTTTAAATTTTCAATCCAAACTAAACAATAACTGTTGCTAAGTATTTAGCGACTAGTGGCTTTTTTAGGGATTTCGATTTTTATATTTAGGATTGTTTTACAAGAAAGGCACTTTATTTTAACGATTTTATGACATTTGACACCTGTCAACTAACTTAAAACCAACTTTAGCCCGTGACTAAAAACCTGTTCCTAACTTCAGCCTGCTATTAAAACGCCATAAAGCTACAACTTGTCAATGTATATTTTAAAAAATCACTTAGTCTTATGAGAACATGTACGATAATGGGCGTTTTAAATGTGGAAGTAGAAAAAAAACTATTATTTTTTAACCTTGTATTGATGGGTGTTTAAATATGGTAACCGTTATGGGCCAACTTTGGTATTAGGGCAGAATTAGTCCCAATAAATCAATCCAATTTTTGGTAAAATTATTTTAAAAAATTGTGTTTTGGTGTTCCAAGAACTTTATTTACAGTATTTAAATGTTGGGTACTCCTTAGTATTTATTAGCATTTTGCTTGTCAATCAACCTCTTGTTTAATTTAAATGTCTTAAAAGGTTTCGTTTTGTAAACCCTACATTGTAAGTTTTCATGTGACAATAAATTTTATATTTTGTTCCAGGAATTAAATGCCCAGTATGCAGCAAATTTGTCATACCCGATGATATAGAATGTCACCTAGTAATGTGCCTAACTAAACCACGGCTTTCCTACAACGGTAAGTCACAAGTTAGCGGATGAACATGTTAAGTAACATTGTTATGCCAAGCAATAGCTTACCTTTATTACTTAACATTGTAGCTAAGTACCACCTTATTACTTATCACGGCAGAGACACTTAACGTGTTCCAGGAGTTGAATAAATTTAAGAGCATTAAATTCTGTTTCACTTGTTTTTGGGATTTCGTAAAAAACAGGCCTAAATAAGGTCTAAAAATACTACTAAGTTTGAAACGTTTGAAGCCAATAGCTCATAAAATGACCGTCAGAGGGGAAAGTCAAAATAAAATAACATGCTGGTCCTTAAAACCTATAAGTAAAGACAATTTAAATCGTCATTCTTTTCTTATGAATTTATACATAAACAATTTATGTTAAAAAAATTAAAACTTTAAAAACATGTTTAGGAAATTATTTTCTACCCTTTTTTATATAAATTTTCAAATATTTTAAAATACTGGGCCCCGCAGTAAAACCTGACGGTTTTGTAAATGGGATAACTTAATAAGTTTTTAAAATTATATCATATTTTTTTTATGGAAATTTATATACAGTATGAAAAAAAAATTATATTCAGTATGATTTTATTTGAATGAGGAATATAGGAATATAGGAAAATATACAGTATAAAAATATAAAAAAATCCTAGAGCAAAGACTGTTAAATTTATTATTAATAAAAATTAAGAAAATTTGCTAAAAGAAATTTAAAAGTAGAAAAAGCATCATGCAAAAAATTTGCCTCTCAAATGTTGACTACCCATTTCCCATGCACCACTCTGGCAAAATTCGCCAAACTCTCTCCAATGTTTGGCGAGGGTTCTCACGAATTTGTCGAGATAAACTCTTTCGTTGAGACAACATCACAGATAAAAATCACGAGGGGATAATTCCCATGAACTCTCGTAGGGTATGCTCATTGAGCAGTCGCCCAAACCTGTTGAAATTATACCCTCCTTTGATGAATTCGACGCCGCGGCGACGTGATTCAGGAAGGATCACGGATCATGGCAACATACCGCTCTGAGTTCACTGTCACTGTACTACCATTCTTCTTTATAAAATAAGGCCCTATTACTTCTGATCTACTCACTGCAGCCCAGACGGTAATGGAGTTCCTGTGGATAATTTGGGCGTGGGATCTCACGCCAAATATTGTAGTCATTATGATTTTTCCTAGATACTGGGAAATGTGTGATCATGGTGCTTCAAAAAATAAAATAAAATTTTTTTTCTCTTACCCTCTCAAATGTTTCTATTTAATATAAAAAAATCCTCACCAAATATGGGCGTTCCAGCTCAACTCTAAGAGGTCGCTGTTTTTATTTGAGTTTCCCATTTAATTAACATGGGAAAAAATAATTTTATGTTTGGAATTTTATACCTCTGTATCAAAGTAACTTATGGCAATGAGTATTGCAGTTTCTTATATAAAATGTAACGCTCTACAAAAAAGCTCTCTTATTATTTTTCGATAAATTTATTTCTTCTACAGTTATTCGAGGTCAAAGTTTGATTAACATAAAATTTTCTGTTTTTTTAATTTTATGGTACAATTCCTTTTTCTCGCTCTACAGGCTCAGAATAATTATTTTCGATTAAAAGCGTGAACTTGTGAGTCAATATATTTTCAAATAATTTAGAAACCGAAAAAAACAATCTAAAAAAAATGTTTTTACGAAATTTTTTGGTTACTCCATTTTGCCCCCCCCCCCCCCGCTGCCTTGTTTTGCCCCCTTTCACCTCCCGCCTGCTAAACATTTGAGAGGGTAAGAGCGAAAAAAAATTAAATTTTATTTTTCGAAGCAAACTAGTGGTCAACATTTAAGAGAGACATAATTTTTGTCTGATGCAAAGTTAAAATAAAAAACTAACAATTATGGAAAAATATAGAAAAATTCTTGAAAATAGCCAAAATTTAAAATCAATATTATTCATTAAATTATATACAGTGTGTTTCCTTTTGAGTGTGGACACCTCTGTAACTTTTTTATTTATATAAATAAAAACGTTACAGAGGTGTCCACACTCAAAAGGAAACACACTGTATATTTTTAAAGTATAGATGAATTATGATTTTTTTTTTCAAAATTATTAATTTTTTAAAGATTTATAAACAATCTAATTTGAGGGCATTCTTGTCTAAGTAAAATATAATTTTCTAAATAATGACTACTTGAAAATTGGGGCAAATAGAAATTTAATGGTAAATTTATTTCTTTAAAAAAATTTTGTACAAAAAAATTTAAAAACATTTTATTTATAAACAAATTACAAAATAACAAACTTCTGGTTGATCAAGAAAAAATTAATTATAAATTATAATTTATAACACTTATTTATTTATCTACAAAAAGTATTCCGAAAAAAACAGTGCATTTGCGATAAACAATTATTTTATAAAAAAATTATCTTATGACTATTTGCGAAATGTTGAAAAAATTGGGTTCGGTTTTTTACAGCCTTAAAAGTAAAAACTCAATATCTATAAACTTTAGACCAATCAAAAAATTCGACTACTGTCGGATCTATCTAACCTCTTTTTTTATTTTTAATAATAATTTTTTTTAATTGCACGTTTTATGTACATATGTATCTTTTAACAAATAAAATTTTGCCTTGGAGATAAAATGTTGTATGCCATTTGGCCTTGTCTTTTTGTGCCTCGCTCAATTGTAGCCATCCTCTACGCGTCGGCCTTCAAACTTTGAACTCAGTACAAAAAGTCTCACGTTTTTTGCACAAAACTCGTGAGTAAAAAAAATCATAAAATAATTGTTTATGGCGAATGCACTGTTTTTCTTTCGGAATTATATTCGTAAATGATTAAATATTATAATTAATTTCTTGATTTTTTTCTCTATCAACTAGATGTGTATTTTGTAATTTGTTTTAAAAATATTTATACATTTTGTCAAAGAAAAATTTTTGTACGGAAATAAATTTACTATTATATTTCTCTATCAACTAAATGTTTTTGTAATTTGTTTAAAAAATATTTATAAATTTCTACATTTATTTAGAGTACTTTACCCAATTTTGTTGACTTTTAACCATTCATTATTTAGAAAATTATATTTTACTAAGAATTTAATTATTCATAAATGGATAACGCTTATTGAAAAGGAACCAAGCGCCAAAAACTTTTTCTGAACTTAGTAAAATTACACTGTAGGGTCTGTATCAGGTCTAAAAAAGTCCGATCCAGGGACACACTGTATACTGGTATATTATAATTTGTAAAATAATATATTTCACCTCTTGTGCCAACATTCCTATGCTTTTTATTTTAATAAACATAATATCCTCAATTATACTCAATAAAAAAAAACTTGCTAAAAAACATTCTGAATTTCCTAAATTATAATTATTATTATGATAATTATCTATAAAAAACTCTAAGGAACTCCTGTTGCATATGATTAATTAATTTAAAATTTTGAATTATTTTTTTTTATTTGAAACTGATGTGTGGATCCAGCCAAATTAATTATTTTTTAAAATTTATACAGGGTGTTTTCAATATCTTTGAATTTTGACCTGATACAGCTAAACCAAGCACATCTACGACCAAAAATTAAGTTTACGTGTCCGAGCGTTTAGCTGTGATATTTTCACCTCCCTACAGTGTTATTTGTAAAATTACTCATTTTAAATAATGCTCCATTTGTAACTTTTCTCAAAAGGATTGAAAGGGTTCCCAAATCATTATTAATTTTTTGGTTTCTTTTCGAAGTTATCTAAATCATTTCTATGACTCTACCTATACTTTAAGAATATATATATAATTTGATTAATAAATTGTTTAAATCTATCCCAGGATTATTTTTTTCAATTCAAAAATTCGTATGTTTTGAAAGCCTTGAAAAGTGTAAAAAATCACTAAAACTGAATATTTTGATTTTTTTCACTTTTCAAAGCTTTCAAATATACGAATTTTTTAATTGAAAAAAATAATCCTGGGGTAGATTTTTTTAGGAAATTTTATGCTCTACAAGAATCCGCGACGTAAAAATTTTTATCGTAAACGGTTCAAAAGTTATGGTATTTTTAATGAAAGAAGATTTTTTTACGTGTTATTTAAATGGGAAACTTTAAATGCTCACCGACACCTTTTAAAATTGAGCTAAAAATCCTGCCTTGCGGGGACATTTTTTTCTCGGTATATAGGTTCATTTTAACCCATAAATTCAATAGGTTAGTTTTTTTGGCTCACCCTAATGAATACCATAGAACATGCTTGGGAAATGCTTGTCAGGGCAGTGGCAGCACGCAGAAACCCACCCAGGTCTATACAAGAGTTTGTTAATGCTGGTCGGGAAGAATGACAAAATATTCCTCAACAACATACCAATCTGATAGACAGCATGGGCAGGCATCTCCAGGCTTGCATAAATGCTTGACGTGGAAATACCCAATATTAAAGGTTTTCAAGTACCTAACTTTTTTAAAGAAATCCATTAATTTGTTAATTTTGATTCTTATTTAAAAATACTCCTATGTTTAAAAAAGTTTTTAAGCGTAATTATTTTTTTTTACTGATAAAAAAAATACTTTCGGAGATTTAGGGTGATGCAAAACTTTTGAATCTATGTGTATAATGGATTTAAAACTTTCAAACACACTGTCAAAAAATGTTTTCTACAACAACTATCATAAACACACAATATTTCCAAACATCAGTTTAAGATATTAAATTGTAAATTTAATGAATTACCAATATTTGAATTATTCACGCTTCAACTTTGTTTGTTTAGTCAAATTATTGCAGGTTCTAATTAATAAAGGCACGGCTTTTAATTTACAACGCGAAATTTATGTTTTGTTTTCTTTTCTTTTGCGTTCCGTTCGCTCGTTTTCTTTTTCTTTTTGCAAATATTCGCAGACCGACTTAATAAGAGCATATTAAAATGTCTAATTATGTTGTTGACTTGGATGCTTGACACACACTGACTGTTTATCTCAAAACGAATTTTAACGTTATATTGTTCATTTTTATTTTAGGTGGCTTTCCTAAATTATATCGATTCTTGTTTATTATTTTGTTCAGCAAAATGGAATTTATAAATTACTTTATATTGACGTCAATATGCAGAAAGTAATGACGTCAACGCCTACGTATTAAAAGTTTAAAACAAACGATTTGTATTGCTTTAGGCCTGTTGGAGCTTTTTTATTCCGATTTTATAAAAAAATTATTTTTTATATTTTATAAAATCATACAAAAACCTAAATGATTTATTTTTTTTAACAGTGTGACCGATTTGTTTACGACTCCCCCTGTAAAATATTTATGAATTGTGTGATTTTAACTTGGTTTGTTTTAGTGTAGATTTTAATCATCTGTATTTTTAAAGCAAAAAACATCACATTTTTACAAAATACAAGTTTTTGAGAGTAAATTTATAAGAAATTATATTAGCGATTTAAAAAATAAAATTCATGCTCGACACTGAATTCGCCACCCCTCAAAACGACCGTATACTAAATTTTAAGTAGGAACGATTTTGTAATTACTATTTACAAATATTTATTCTGTCAAGTTATCCATGAAAAAACGTTGAAATAAAATACACTAATAGGTAGTAACATCCACATTTAATTTCAATACGCTTTCATATTTGTTCTGGAGTAATGGCTGCACACTGTGCAGTGCACAGTGTGCAGTGCACAGTGTGCAGTGCACAGGCTTGTATTACCATAGATTGTAGTTCTTGTGCAGTAGAGGTGACGAAAATCTAATTTAAGAATTTTTTGAATTCTCTATTTTTTGTTTCATTGTTGTTTTAGGTTTTTATTGCGTTTTTAATTTGTCAAACCTAAGCATAGGAATACCATGTTACTATTAGTTTAATTTTATTTCAATGTTTTTTCCTGGATAACTTGACAGAATAAATTATTGTAAATAAATATTATTGTTCATTTTTAATTAGGGTGCAAATTCGCTCCTACTTAAAAAATTTCAATAAAATTTAGTATAGGGTCGTATTGACGGGTGGCGAATCCAGTGCAGTGCATATTTATTTTTAAATCGTTATATGAATTCTTAAAAATTTAATTCCAAAAACTGACATGGTATGCCTTGTATTTTGTAAAAATATGGCGTTTTTTGCTTTAAAAATGCAGTTTATCAAGGTATACATTTTAAAACGCGGTTAAAATTGCACAATAAATAAAGATTTTACAGGGGTAAGTCGCAAACAAATGGGTCACACTGTATATAGGTCATTCCATATTAAATCACCAAATTTTAAAAATTGTATTTTTTGATTCAGTTAATTTTTTTATATGTTTTTGTACGTATCAAAAGACTCCTAACCCTAACTTTTGAGCCCTTAATTGTCAAAATCCCCTAAATTCATAACTCGTGCTTAAATTATCATTATCATTTTCAAAAATTCATATCTTCGGGGCTTTTGAAAATTAAGGGCTCAAAATTTAGGGTTAGGCGTCTTTTGATACATACAAAAACATAAAAAATTTAACTGAATCAAAAAATACAATTTTTAAAATTTGATGATTTGATATGGAATGACCCATAAGTAGCTAATTATATTAAAATATCGTCCAACAAGAATAAAGCAATAAAAAAGTTAAATACTCTAAAATCAGAATAAATCCCTGAATTCCATCGAACTTCTATTGATATTTTTAAACACATACGTCAAATATCCCAAGAACACAATTAATTATCCCAAGAACACCATTAATTAATAGTGTTTTTGGTTAGTCGCCTAAAAACATTGAAGTTCCTCCAGATTTCCATTAAAGTAAATTGTTTACAAATTTCGTATAACGTTTTTACCAAGACTTCGTTTCGACAAAAAAATGTATATGTATCTTTATATTAATATTTAATGCATATTAATTTTTCGTTATTAAAAATATTTTTCTTTGAAAGGGGATAATAACATACGCGGTGTGTTCAAAAAATAACGGGAATTGTTAAATTTCGCGGGTTCGGAGGGTCCGGTTGTCATACAATTTTCTTTATTATGTTGGTATACATGCCCCGAAGTATGATAAAAACTTTGGCTGTTTTCATTGTTTACTTTGTCTGTGGCAGCCGCTAAGGTTAGACGTGTTTTATGAGCTCGGCGATTTTTCGTTCGTTAAAAGAAATGGATCAAAGAATTTGTATCCAATTTTGCTTAAAAAATGAAATAAATTCTGCGAAATGTTAACAAAGGCCTATAGTGAGTCTGCTATAAGTAAAACAAGAGTTTACAAGTGGTATAAGAGTTTTCAAGAGGGCCGTGAAGACGTTGAAGATGACGAACGCCCCGAACGCACAAGCACATTAACAACCAATAAAAACATGAAAAAGTGGAAGAAATGGTTATAAACCATCAGAGAAATCGCTGATGATGTTGGTATATCGATTGGCTCATCCCATGAAATTTTTTCGAATGTTTTGGGTATGAATCGCGTGGCAGAAAAATTTGTTCTAAAATTGTTAAATTTTGAACAAAATTTTTGGCCAAAAACAATACTGTAATGATGCCCCAGCCTCCATATTTTCCAGACAAAGGGCCGTCGTTTTGCAAGCATAGATGACATTAAAAGCGCATCGCTGAAAGAACTAAAGGCTATCCCACAGATCGAGTTTTAGAAGTGTTTCGAGTATTGCAAGAAGAGCTGGCACATGTGCATAATATCCAATTGGGACTATTTTGAAGGCGACAACATTAATGTAGACGAATAAATAAATATTTGTTTCAAAAAACGAAAATTCCCGATATTTTCTGAACACACCTCGTATATGATATATCATAATTTTTTATATAAAATAATTGATAACACATAATAAATTTCTTTTTTTGTCATTTTTAGAAGACGTTTTGACTGATGATAAGGGAGAATGTGTAATTTGTTTAGAAGAACTGAACCAAGGTGACATTATTGCTCGCCTTCCTTGCCTATGTATATATCATAAGACGTAAGTATAAACACAACCTTAGAAAACCTTAAAAAATTAAATGCATTGTCAAAAAATCTACATTTCGTCTTATAGGACCTTTAATCGTTTTAAACTAATAAGAAAAGCCTAATCTAAATTTTGCAGGCAAACTCGAACTCAAAACGGTAAATTTTAAAGAAAAAAATGTTGGATAGTTACCAAAAAAAGCGTATTTTAACCTCGAATTATTTTTAAGGCAGCTCTGTAATTAACAATGTTGTTCATAAATATCTGCAAAGTTCATAGAAACTTTTTACCGACGATAGACCGTTTTAGCACGTCGGGTTTTTAGTGAAAACCCAAAGTTTTTGGATTTTGGTAAAAACTTTGGATTCCATTTTAATCTAAAACGGCTTAAAGTACCCAAAATAGCGTTTTATCGCTTTTTGACCCCGACAATTTTTTTAGGATTAGGGGGCATCCATTAATTACGTGAGGTGTTTAGGGGGGGAGGGGGTCGAGCCAAACCTCACCCAATCTCACGTGGGGGGAAGGGTGGTCTCGGCAAATATCACGTAATTTTTTCTTTTCGAATGAAACAGTGTAAAATTGCGAGACAACTGGGTTAATTAAGTAAACAATTATTTTAATTTTTTAATAAATCCAATGGAATTAAGCCCAGATTAACTTATTTACATTAAAGCCATGCATTTTAAAAAATCTCACGGGAGATTAAGGGAGGGGGAGGGGGTCGAGCAAAATCTCACGACATCTCACCAAGGGGAGGGGGGAGTCGAAAAATCGCCAAAATTGCCTCACGTAATTAATGGATGACCCTTTAGGCTTTTCTTATGAGCTCCAAACGATTCATGCAAAAAATTAATGGTCAATTTATTCCGAAAACAGCCGACAGATTTACTATACTATTACTTAAAAGTTCAGTTAATTTTTTTATTTATTTATTATTGACCAAGTTAAATAAACTAAATAGTTTATAGAGCATTAACTTAAATTTAAATAACTAATGGGTAAATGTGTCCAGTATGTTTCACTTTTGTTTAAAAATTAGGAATTAACGTTTTTTCTTAATTTTGTTGTGTAAAATTGAACCCATGGTTACTTGGAAATCAGAGGAATGATACAGCAGTAAAATATTTAAATGTTAAAATTGTTTGCCAATTTTGAGTTATCCCCAAAACTAGAACAATTTAAATCTAAATCTAAAATGCTCGAAACACCTAACACAACTATTGTCTATTTTTCTGTGATTTTGCCCTAATGCCCTACAAAGTAATTCGGTTTTTATAACCAACTGTAAACATTGTAAATAATTACAGATACATTATTTTTGCAGAAATTTTACTTACACAATATGTAGGTATGTAAATAAAAATTCTAAAATAATTAATTTTTCATAGGAATGATTTTAAAACCCTGGGGAATAATTCCTAAATTTTTGTAATATATAAATAAAGGTAATTTAATTTATGCTAATTACTAGTGTTGCAACGGTTACGGTTACGGTTACGGTTAATTCACGGTTTTCGATATTATACGGTTAACCGTAACCGTATGTCGTTAACCGTAACCGTATTTACGGTTTTTCATGCTACTTTGTGAATGCATGTAAAAAAAAGATTGAAGAGTAATTAACGTTACCAAATATACCACCTAAGTCAAATCCGTTTACATTCTGGAAAACGTGTTACACGTTTCGGCGTTTAAGAGTGTTGGCACTAAGGTATTATACAAACCATTGTCAGTGAATTCGGAGAGGTTGTTTTCGACTGCAGGTCTTGTGCAAACACCAAATAGGAACAGGCTGATTCCGCAGAATTTGCAGATGTTATGTTTTTTAAATAAAAATTTGACTCGTAAATTTTGAATATTAACATTTAATTTTTTTATATTTTTAAATATATTATTCAGGTACCTACTTAGGTTTGACTTTACTGTTTTTAGGTTTAAAATGTAACTCATTTCCTATTGTTTTACAGTTTTATTAGAAATTCTGTTTTTGTTTTACATAAATTATTATTTAACCTTTACTGAACGTGTGTATTAATTTCAAAACTTTATTTTTCGTAATTCTGTAATTTTTTTTTGAATAACCGTGAATTTATTCGTAACCGTATAGCTAACCGTAACCGTAACCGTAACCGTAAAACCCGAAACCGTTGCATCACTACTAATTACAAATTAACAAATTACTTTTGTTCAAAACTTTTTAAAACTCATAGTAATCTTTAATTTGGCATTATGATTTTCTCCACTTGTCATCAGAGGAATGAGCGGTCAATCTGTAACACTTGTTTTTAGGAAAGATACAGCAACTAAAAATGCGATTTTAAGACCAGAAGTAATAGTAAAAGATTTAAATTAATTTATTTGTATGCATATAGTTTTATTTAAAGCATTAATTTAGTTTGTACTCATATAATAATAATTATTATGGACATGTTGGAGGAATATTATTATGAGAAATTAACCATTATTTCTTTCAATGGAAAATTGTGTTTTTGCTTAAAAATTTCGTCAGACTTAAGTAAGAACTTCGCCATTTAATCATAGATATTGAAAGGCATTACAAAAATGGAGTGAGCATATAAAAGACAAAGACATTTACCCTTATTAAATATATCACATTTTGATACATGATAGCTCAAAATGCTTTCAATGAACGTACTTACTTAGGAAACCCTATAAATAGAATAATAACTAACCATGTTGTTTGTTTTAGGTGTATAGATCAGTGGTTTGAAATAAATAGGTCTTGTCCTGAACACCCAGGCGATTAGCAAAATTCCTAATATTACAAAATTGTGTACATAATGTAAATACATATATTATATAATATGAACTTTTAGAACATGTAATACAAAATGTTGGAGGGTTAAACAAAATTTGAAACGGCTACCTTTCCGATTTTTTTATTGAACCATGAAATTTTTTGAGTTTAATTGCAAGGGCGCAACAAAATAGACAGGAATAAAATACAATGAGTTACACATATCAGTGGTTTCTTTGTTTCTTAAGTTTTTAATATACACTGAATTTTTTGCCTCGTTTTGTTCATTTAATTGTTGTTATTTTGCAATTATTGATTAATGTGTAAACAATAATAAACCTCAAAATCCCAATAGGTTTGGTTTTAGAATAAATTTTGTTTTTTATTCCCTATAAATCTGATCATTTAAATAATTGATAAACCAAACTTGTTTGTATTATGTGGCTGTTTTATTTAAAAAAAAAATGAATTATTGTGTAATAATCTGTAATACATCAAATATTAATAATCTAGCATAATAATATTTATATTAGAAAGGTACTTGTGTTAACAAAGAAATATTTTTGATACTTTCATACATAATGCTTAAATTTTATTTTGAATGATAATTTGGTCTGTAGGTTGAGTACAATCAATGTTAGTAAGTTTATTATTGTCCCTATGTATCTGGGATTTAACTCTTGATATCACATATAAATATTTTGATTTGCAATGTAAAGGAAAACGAAGCTTGATAAATTTATACCTGTAATTATAGTCAATTATTTTGTCATTATATAATCAAATGACAAACCCAAAAGTTTTCCTATTTTGTAAAAATATAATTAATTGTGATTCCTTCTTTTTATATTTGGTCATGCATACAGTGATTTTAATTTTCAAGTTAGTGTAAAAATAAAACCAACCAAAGACATTTTGTTAATGTGATTAAATATAAGGTGCTAATTACGATTTACAGTAAATTTTAGTTCTATGTTAGAAGAATTAAAAAAGTTATGACATATTCTTCATGATTATGATAGATTGTTTTTTTGTATGTTACTTTTTATATTTGTTGCATAACTTCTTCAAATAGAAGTGCCATAATTTGATTATTATATCTTTAAGGTGTAGAATTGTAGTTAATAATAAATAAAAGTTTTAAATATATTTTCTTTTCATTTTCCTTACATATTTAATACTCACGATAACTGGTTATAATTCAAGTTTTAAACGATTGAAGGTAATTTGGGAAATGGAAAAAATGGGCTGGTGTATGCTATAGTTAACAAGAATTATTACTCCTGTTTTATTTTAAGATTACTAACAGTTGGGGTAAATTAGCAATAACTGCGGATGTCAATTAAAATCATACTGTAGTATTTTCAATTTTTTTTCTTCACTTTATTATCTTTGTTATTAACCAAGATACTGATTTTAAAGATTTTTTTATTAACTATTCAGATTATAATATACATTTTTTATACATAGTCCAAAAGTAAGAATTTTTTTTCAGAAAATTTTGTACATTAAAATAAAAAAATAAAAATCCACTTAAAAAACCTTAAAACAAAAATTAAATTTACATTTATATTATATTTTAAATATGCACCTCTTAATTTAATGTAATGTTGAACTTACTAAGCAAATTTTTTACTTAATTTAGGGGCCGTCCATAAATTACGTAACACCATTTTTGCCAATTTTTGACCCCTCCTCCCCCCTGTGTAACACTCTGTCACACTTGGGCAAACCCCACCCCCTAAAATTACGTAACACTTTGGCTTTCCCCCCCTAAACTTAAAAAAAGGACAAAATTTTGTTAACATATATTTAGTTAATAACCAAAAAAAAACAAAAAATATACTCAGTCAACAGAATCTTAATCTTAAATCAAACAAAAACCAAAATCTTAAAAATCTATGCTTATTACAAACAGGTAGGTAACAAAATCTTACTATTAGGTTATTAAGAATCACTTAAGCAGTAGTATGGGTATTTTTCAGTCGTCAGAACTTTTCCATGGTGTTGAAATGGCATTTTCCATGGATATTACTTCTATAGAAGTATATATGCTTGCGTTTTCGTAGATATATTCGGCAACAGCCACATTTTCTAAAACATCTTCATCAATCCACTATAACTCCTGATCTGTTTTATCAAGTTGCACCAAAAATTCCTTTTGTTTTTTAGCTGCCACCCTTTCTGGTCTAATTCTTTTAATATTTGCCTCTCGCCCGCAGTCTTTTTGGTGGCTGAGTATATATTTTAGCGAAGCCCCATAAAGCCCACATTTCTTGCAGATTCGTTTCTGGAAAGCTTCTTTTACTGAAGGACACATGATATCATATGGGACTTCTTTAAAATTCTTAAAGAATAAGGGTGCATTTAACCTGTCCTTTAGAGAAAGAGTACCAAACAAATTCAAGAAGTGTCCTTGTTCTTTAATGGTTAACGCATCTTCATTATACCCTACTGATACTGGAGGAGGCAAGAATCTATTCGGGAAAAGCTCTTTAAATTGGCTTCTAAAAGCCGAACAACAGCTGCGATCATCGCATTTCACAATTTGTAAAAAGTACTGGCTACTTCTCACATTTTATTTTATAATTTAAATGAAGGCTCAAAAGTGTTACGTAACAAAGTCGTAAACCCCCCCTCCCCGCCTCGTAACACTTTGTCACACTTTGAGCAACCCCTCCCCCCCCCCTTCGCGTGTTACGTAATTTATGGACGGCCCCTTATAGATATTTTTTTCTGATCATTTTTGTGGAAAGTGAACTTTCCTGATACACGTTTTTATAATAAATTTTTTTTTTATTTATGTTTAAAGTTTTATTGTTCTTTTAAATATTTAGTTTTTTATAAAAACTTCTAAAGTTGCTTTAGTTTAGCTGATAGTCATTAAATCAATTTATTCTGAAAAGAAATATTCTTTCCATTCAATCAAAATTGCATAAGATATAAAAAACTTCTAAATGTTTTTTTTTAATTGCAAAAACGATTAATTTAAATACTAGGAGAAAATACTTACCAAATGCTGTGCATCAAGTGTGAAAAAATCACAATTTATTTTCCAAAAAGTATCTTCTATAAAAATTAGTTGTATAATTGTATATTTGTATATAATGTTCTACTATAAAATAGGTGTATAAAGAAAAAGATTAATTTATATGACAAATATCCTTTATTGCAAAGTGTTACAAATGTATATAAAATATATTTTTAACCACAATAATGCCTTAGCATAAATCATAAATACATACACGGATTCTCTACAAAAAATACCACTGGTAGCTTAAATTCTATAATAAATGTAAATAATCTATACAAAAATGTAATTTTAAGCAATACATTAAATGTGTCAACAGTAATGGACATACAACAAGCTTTAGTATCTTACTCTAGTTTGTACAATAATAAAGGGCTGTACTGTAGACACTTGCACTTGTTATTTATTTGTTCTAAATTTATTTGCATACAGGGTCTTTGGCAGGTCAATGCAAACCTTTGTAAAGGTTATTGAAAAGGTCAATTGAAACCTACTTAGTCAAATTTACCTAAAGACTTGCTAAAATAGGTTCTAAATGATCTTTCAAAAGGTTTGCACTGACCTTCATAATACCATGTAGGTATATTGAACGGAATAAAATTTAAATATACAATACATCTAGATTTAAAAAATGTAGAGATGTTGTACATTTAATACTACCACTAAGGCTATTTAAATATTTAAATACAACTTTGCAAATCATACAAAAACACAACACCATAGAAAACCTATGATGTTGTAATATGGTTAGCTATTTCTATGGTTACAAGAAAAGCGTTTTCTATTCACAGCTTCGAAATAGCGTAATATAAATAATTTGTATGGAAAAAAATACTAGAATTTGGTAAATAATACCTTAAGGCTTAAGTAATATTATGTAAATATGAGAGCATTTCACTAAATTTATATCACAATAGGTTGTGTAGTTAAATACTACTGAAGCACTGATTTACCATGACGATTGACTAGAGAGGTTACAAAAACCCCCATGTATATTAAATTCGTAAAATTTAAATTCATTAAATTTGGCCCATGATAATTGTTGATAATTTTAGTAGAAAACATTGTATAGTTAGTCAGTCTTTTTCTTTGTGTGAAAGGCACAGTGAAAACTGGATCACAAATCAATTTAATTTTTTATTGGCTTCAGTCAAATTGTTATGTTACGTACCTTTTAATTTATGGTTTTGTTGCAAAAAATAACACGCCTTTAAAGTTTAAAGATAAGGATTATTTACCTAATTATTAAATAAGTCTAATGCTTATGGTAAATGGTCCAAAATTGCTTATTTTTCAACATCAATATTTGTTCAAAGTGTTAAATGCTCCCACATTTAAAATATTTATATAAATTAAGTATGTACAGTCTATTTTTTTTTATCGCTAAAAGCCTTTGCTATAAAGTAACATTGCAGTGGAAAGAAATAATACATGTTTTTTACAGTCAAGTATAAATAAAAAAATGCACTTGTTTCAGTCGCAGGGGTAAAACAAACTGAAAAGAGAAAAAATAATGAATTTTAAAATCAAGCATATAACAATTTATACAACACATACAATACAGTACATAAGAGTACATAGAAAGAATTCATATTTGTACGCAGTTCAAAAGTTCAAATTATTATACACCGCCGTTCAATAATGAAAATATATTGAAATTAGATAGAAAGAGTGGTGTCATCTATCGCATTGCAGGTTACCATTGAATACCTTTATGCACATTGCCTATAATGTCAAAGGTAGACTACCTGTCGCAAGCTTAAGAATTAAAAAATTTGGGAGATTTTTTATTACAATTTATAATAATTCCGGCCAACTTTTGGACCCGAGCAGTTTACAACGATTTTTGACGTTATTTGATGCGCTGAATTCGAATCTTAAATCCGTTTGGCAACATTGGTTCTAGTTTTTCAGTTCTTGTAGGTGAAGGACAGGATTTTCAGTACTTAATCAAGTTGTTTCCGAATTTGTCGTACGCAAAAATCAAAGAAGTATGTATGTAACGAAAAAAGCAGACAAAAACTTGACCTTTCGAACCAGTTTGTACAGTTTGATAATGAAAGAATTGATTGGGTCAGCTCTGCCAAGAATCTTGGTATACAGGTGGACTGCCCTTTGGTTTGATTCCCACGTTAACAATGTAAACAAATCATCATTTTTTACATTAAAATCAATAAACAAACTAAAATACATTGCGAACGAAAAAACAAAGTTAATGCTGGTAAGATCACTTATTTATCCGAAAATAAACTACTGCAGCTCTGTATATTACTTTCTCTTGCCAAATTATAATCGTTTGAAACTTCAGCGCATTCAAAACGCTTGTATGAGGTTTATTTTTTATGTCGATTTTAGGGAGCATGTCACGCCCTATTTAAATACCATTCAAGAGCTAAATATTTTTCAAATGTGTGTTAATAATTATGGGTTTTTCTTGTTTAAATTAATAAAATGTAATAGTCCAGATTATCTTTTCAACTTGCTGAAGTTACAGTCATCGATTCATGATATTAATATTCGAATAAATAACTAAACAATTCCACAGCATAGTACTAGCAAGTTTAAATGCTTTGAATACACTGCACCTACTATTTTGAATGAGATACTTGATTTTTTAAGTTTACCTGAGTTAAATTTTAAACAGGTTTTAAAAAACCATGTACGAAGTTTGCAGTTAGAAATTTAAGAATAATGAATTTGAAATTGTTTATTTTTAATATTTTTTTATTTTTTATGTTGTTATAAGATTTTGTTTATGTATTATATTGCTATAAAAATAATTTAGTTATTCATGTACTTAAAATGTTACATGGGAGAGTGGAAGATCGGCTTTGCCGAACTCTTGCCAATTGTGAAATGTACCTTCTTTCTTTTCACAATAAACATTATTATTATTATTATTTGTCGAACCTGATATTCAAAAATTGCTGACCGACGGAAACTATACAAAATGTTTAACGCCCGATAAAGTGGCAGCATGGACCTCTTTGAAGTGTTGTTCACAACTTTCTTGGTAACCGCAAATCCCCGGATTTGGGTTCATCCATTAATTACGCGAGGCAATTTAGGCGATTTTTCGACTCCCCCCCTCCCCTTGGTGAGATGTCGTGAAATTTTGCTCGACCCCCCTCCCCCCTACCTTAATCTCACGTGGGATTTTTTTAAATGCATGGTTTTAATGTAAATAAGTTAATCTGTTATTGATTCCATTATATTTATAAAAAAAAACAATTTGCTTATAATTGTTTACTTAATTTAACCCAGTTTTCTCGCAATTTTACACTGTTTCATTCGAAAAGAAAAAATTACGTGATATTTGCCGAGAGCACCCTCCCCCCACGTGAGATTGGGTGAGGTTTGGCTCGACCCCCACCCCCCTAAACACCTCACGTAATTAATGGATGCCCCCTTTCAAGCAAATCATCGGCAATTTGTTGCAAAATTACCGCAAGATTGGATCTCGGATGTCTCTCAAGATGCATTTCCTCTATTCCCACCTCGATTTTTTCCCTGAAAACTTGGGCGATACAAGCGACGAACAGGGAGAGCGGCTACACCAAGATCTCGCAAACATTAAAAGGAGATACCAAGAATTTTGGGATGAACGCATGATGAGCGAGTACTGTTGGACTCTAATGCGTGAAACGGATCCAAAACAATATAAAAGACCAAAGTTCCACCGCTCTTCATTTCTAATTTATTACTTTTAATTGCAATTAAATAAATATAATTGCCAAAGATTGTACAAATTTAATTTATTTACTATCTCGAAGACTAGAACCAATCTTAAAAAACGGAGTGAAGATTTGGATTCAGCGCCCCCCCAAGATACCTTAAAAACAACTGGTTGCTCAGGTTCAAAAGCGTGTATACTTGTGTAATTATTGTCATTTTTGTAAACAAAACCTTTTGATTTTATTTAGACAGAATCTGGCAACCCTCAATGAAAGTACAGAATTATTAAACGCTTGAAAAAAGTAGTATTATACGCGCTTTTTAGGCAAGCTATATTATTATACAGCACTCCGTAAAGAGCATGTTAACTGCCTCGCTTAGATCTGCAGCCTCTGCAGCGAACACTGAGCTGGGACATAATAAAAGCGCTTTCTCCGCCTGTTAGATAATGTACTAAAGGGTGATTTAATTTGTATGTCCACATTAAAAAACACGAAGAATTTAAAAAATTAAAAAAAATTATTTGCTCTTTGAGTTTACTTCATTCGCTTTTGGTCTCCTTTTTCAGCTCAGCAATAGTGTTTGGAAATATTCTTTTAGACTCTGCTCTTTAGATACCCCGTAAAAAAATACCTATCTGTTTAAGTAAAATCACATTTGCTGGAATTTTTAGACCACATACCAAATTAACCTCTCAGAAAGTCGATATTACGCATAATGGATAGTTTTAACGCGTTCTTCTTGTGTATGGCTCCATGACTAATTTTGTTTATTTTTCTAAATTATAAATCTCACTTTGAGTTAATACAGTTTTAAAATATTTTAGACTTGAAAACTTAATTTGAATCACCCTTTATTACTGGATAACTCCAAAAACATTTTTTAAAGGGTAAGTCTAAATAAGTGGCTGATTTACCTCAAAATATAAAAAAAACAAAACATGTTACTATATACAATGTGTCCCTAAACTTATTGGCATAAATTTAGGAAAAGATTGAACAAGTCAAAATAAGATGAAAACTCAAATAAATATTTTTCCTAATTACTTATGTTTCCAAGATACAGGGTGATAAAGTGTTACTATCATATCAGTTTTTTTAATATAACCTCTACTATGGTAGTCTTGGAAAGGTGATATTTTGCGAACAGTCACTTACTACCAAAACCTTAGAAGACCAAAACACATATTCACACATAATTATAATTGTTTGAGTGAACACAGTGTCGGAGAAACGGGGGTTGCTTTAAGCTTATTGTCCCATACAAACTTTGAGGTTAGGTTTTTATAACATTTGATGCAATTTTTAGATTACCCGGCTATTCAAAAGATATGGCCAAACATTTTTTCTTGGCTTAGTAAAATTATTTATAAAATAACTTATATTTAATAATACCTCAAGAGGTTAATTAGGGGCCGTCCATAAATGATGTCACACACTTAGGGGGAGGGGGGGTCGTCGAAAATGTGACAGTTTGTGACAGCCGGGGGGGGGTGGGTTTGGGAGGTTGTGATGTCACAAAATGATAAAAATATTTTGAAATTTTTTATATTAATTAATTGAAAATATTTAGTTAGTTAAACAAATAACTAATTTAGCCATTACTTTATTATAATATTAAATAATAATAAATAAATAATAAATAAAGTTTTTATTGCATATTCAGTACAATACAGAACATATAATACAAAATATACAAAAGGCCATCGACCGGGGTCCTTCAGCCTAATATTAAATAAAAAACTAGTTTTATGTTTAAACTGATTTAATAAAAACCTGAAAATTTGGTAAAAAATAAATTAGTTATAAAAAAGTATAAGTAATTTAAAAATGCTATTTTTAAAGAGTTTTTGCAATTTTCTTAGGAAACGGGAGATTTTGCAGATATATATATCATTATAACTTTCTTATTATTTATACAATTTTTACCAAATTTTCAGGGTTTGTATAATATTTTATGTTCTTTTTAATGGGCCTATTTATAACTTTTTTTACTCATACAAAAAAAAAAGTTAAAAAGTTAGCCTTTTTTTAAAAGCTAAAAATAAAAGTTAAACTTTTTAAAAATAAAAATCGCTTCGAGGGGTATACGCCAAAATAAGCTGAATTTTTCATAACTTCTAATAATTTTGAGATAGTATTCACGAAAAATATTTCTGTATAAATTATGAAGTGTCCGAACATTTTGTGGTTAGGGCTTGTATATATCCCATAATTTGTGACACTTTGTGACAAGGGGGGAGGGGGGGGTCAAAAATATTAAAAAAACGTGTAACATCATTTATGGACGGCCCCTTATCATTTGGAACTTTTCTTGAGAAGGTTCCCAAATCATTATTAATTTTTTGATCAGCACACAGTGTTTCAATTCTGGAAAATATCGGCAAAACCTCAAAAATTGACATTTTTTTTTCAGGTAAATTTTTAGTAAGATGGGTAGTTAATACCTGTCTCCATTCTGTATTGAAAAAAAATGATATAAAATACGTATATTTTGTCTTGTACATCAGTTTAAACTTGACGCTTTCAGTTGAAGTACTTTACACGCGATCGCTGCGAAAAATTGTTTATTGTTTAAAAGTGAATAACTTGTGTTTGGTGTGTCCGATTGTTATGCGGTTTGATAAAGGGTGATCTTCAAGGTATCTAAAATTCAAATATGTATTTGTTTTTCGTAGATTTTGCTTGTACAACGGGTTATTGTAACCGACAAAATCGGTCTGTTAAAATCGCAAACTTTGAATCGAGCTTTTAGAACAATGGAGCTACAAAAATTGTAATGAATTGTAAGGCATCAGTTCAAGATCCGTTGAATAGCTTAGAGTTTTGTCTATCAAGCCATCAATAAATTAGCTGCCCCAACTTGCCCCCGGCTCTTTAAAACTACATATTCTTGGGCGCTCGGGCACGGTTGTGGTAAAAAAACCTCGCGATTTTAAGCCTATGTCGAGCGCGTAACTGTGTTTTTGCTTTACAAAATATAAGATATTTTTTTATTTCTGGGTTGCGTTCATGACGTTTACTCGATTCACTCGGATTTAACTCAAAACGTTTATTACAACAGCGGTGTCTAGACTTTCACTTGCGTAAACCGTTCGTGACTACTAAGATATTTAACACCGATTTTACATATAAAACAACTCCGCATGCGCGTTGTAGTGTGTTAATGTCAAATTTAAATTGTGGTTATTTGTGTTGACAATTTTTTTAGCGAATTAAGAAATCGTTGCTAAAATATTAATTTAAAGAAATAATACAAATTTAAAATACTTGATATAAAATCTGTTATATTTAAATTTTATAAATATATTTTGAAAATTTCTCAAGAGAAAATGATGGAAGATGTTTTCCATTGGCTTATGGCATCTTCCGATCCGTATATTTCTAGCTTCAGAAAATTTGCTCCGAAAAAGAGCAAATCTTTGTCCCGCGAAGCAATAAAACTGTTGCTATCTTCTAATGGTTTCCCATGCTCTGCTAATGTTGTGCGAATCCAGTGACGGAGATTGTTTAATATATATGTAGGTATTAAATAATATCATATAAATGTAATTATAATAAACTAAATTAATCTATTTTATAAAAAGATGTTTTATTACATTTTAAAAAGAACCTCTTACGGGTTTTTAATTAATTTCGACAATATTTGATAAAAATGTCCGCCATTTGAGGTCCACCATTTTGAATTTTGGAATTCTGATTTCAGATTCATTATCAGCGACCACAAAAAACCCTGTATGGTGATTTTCAATTAATTCCGTCAATTTTTTGACAAATATGTCCGCCATTTTGGATCTACCATTTTGAATTTTGGAATTCTGATTCCAGATTCGTTATCAGCGACCCTAAAAACCTCTATATACGGATTTTTAGGAGAATCCGACTACTCCTTGATATTTTCGAGAATTGAAACACTGTGCAGCATTAAAAATGAGTTATTTCGCAAATAATTTTGTTTACCCCAAGAAAAGATTTTGGCACTTGGTTCCTTTTAATAAATAAACGCTGCCCATTTAATAACGAACATTCTGAAATATTTGGAATCGAAATATTATTTAATCTTAATGCTGTTTTAAGTTGATTTAACTCATGTTATCAAATAATTGATACATCTTTTTTATTCAGCATCTCTTGGGGTTATCTCGTACGGAAGTATTGATTTTCGACGTTGAAGTTCAACATAGATGACGAAAATGAGGTTTTTGTTGGATTTATTTCATGACCTTTTCGACCATATCTTTTGAATGAATGAGTCAAAAAGCCTTGGATATAATTTGCGCAATTATCTATTCTTCAAATAAAGTAAGAATTGTTCATATCTCGTGTATTGGTGTTGATAATTCAGTTTTAATTATTACAAAACCAAGCGATTTTTTAAATTGGCTATTATCCAAAAAAATCATCGTCTGATTGTTTTCTCATTTTTTGAGTGCCCTGAACACGAAAAAAATATCCCAGCTCTGTTGCAACTCTTTTTTTATTTTGTAAGACAGTGTAATCTGTGTACAGGGTAGTCCTTAATAATTTCAGGGTGTGATTCTTCAAGTTATTTTTATGAACATATGTCCTCAAAGGTCATCATTTTTTGCTACAGGTAGTTGCAAAAATAATTTTTATAGTTTTTATTTTTTATAAGTACTTAAAAGTACCTACTTTAGATATTATTTCCAATCTTGGTGGGTAAATGTGAACGCTGACAACTGCATTTTGAAATGATAAAAACAAAATATACGAAATCATGGAAACAAACAATATAGAACTAGAGATACCCGTTTTTTGTCTTTTACTAATTGAGGCATGTCATAGCATAACCGACAATCTGTACTTCTACTAATTATCTATAAGATGATAAAGTTTATGTGCTGCAAAAAAAGCTAAATCCTGACTAAAATCCTATTTTAATAATGACATTTAGTGCAAAGTCGCCAATCTCCACTGATAGATTTGCAGCAAGTATACAATCTCCAATTCCACCATTAGAAATTAGTAATTTGTGTCACCTGACATCCTAACATTTGATGTTATAACGTATTTTATAGATTTAATTTTGTGTTTTTTTACTGTTAAGTTCTATTGCAGTAAATTGCACTAAAAATATATTTAAAATAGGTATATACACGTTTTATTGTTTTAGAATTATAAAAAAGTTATCTTGTTTATTTTGTGCTATTATACCATAATAAGACGTAAAGGTAAAGCAAAACATTGCAAGTAAAACATTACGGAGCAAAGTGGGAAGAAGATGACGAGTTGTTGTACTATAGGCAACCTGGTCGCAGATTTACAATAAACTCCAGATTTGTGTGGTCCAGTTCAGAATTTTCCCACATTGATTATATAGTTAAATTTTATAACCATTAAAGGAATAAAAATACAATTATTTTTTGTTTATTTTTCTAAATCTCCTTAAACGTTTACAACAAAATGAGCAATCTCCAGCAATTCATATCAAAGTCAGCAATCTTCAATTTATAATTACAGATTTCACCTATACTTTGCATCCTGGAGACCTTGTAGTTGGCTACTAGACTAACAACAACAATATTTCAATATAATATATAAAAAAAAAACAAATTACAAATCTAGATTTTAAAATACCAAAATCAATCTCAATTTACTCTGTTTTAGTCTGACGGGAGATTGTTGACTTTGCTCTGACAGGCCTCAATTGATGATGCAGTTGTCGGCGTTTGCATTTAGGGCACTCATTTATACTTAGGGTTGTGCCTGGTTAATTGACCGCGGTCAATTGACCGAGATTTTTACCTATTTTGACAGGAGAGATTTTGACCATGTCAAAATCGGTCAAAACCTTTAAATTCAACCGCGCGCTACCTAGCAGATAATATTAAAAGTATTAAAAAAATGTTCGGTAGTGGACCATGGTGCAATCATAATAATGCTTTTTAAATAGTGTTCTGGGTCATTTTTGACTAAATAATTTTAAGAGAGTAAAGACAATGGCGAGGATGATGTGCCGTTATCTACACATGCTAGCACCGTGTTTTCGGTTTTTGGTTCTTAAAAGAACCTTATGTCTGACGACGTTTCGGTACAATGTCATGTTCCATCTTCAGGTTTTTTCTGCTGGGCTGCTGTTGCAGCTCTGCTGCGAGCTAGACGTGAATGTTCTTAAAAACATATATAATATTCATTTTATGAATGTTTTTTTTGTACCTCAGAATGGTTTTTTTTATTTATTGTTAGCTGTTTTTCAATAAATATACGTTTCTATTTAAAATTAAGTAATGCCTTCATTTCTTTAGAAAAAACTATGGAATTTGACCGGTGCTTAGTCAATTGACCGGTCAATTGACTAGTCAATTGACCACAAAAGATTTTGACCGGTCAAAATCCCAACCCTATTTATACTACAGTTCCAACTTTGTTTAAATGTTCTAATACGATGCAGCCAAGTTTAGGTTTACCCCGTCCGCAAAGAAGTTTCCCTTCAAAAATGTCCTTACCCACTTCGCGGCAGCCCGCGTTGCCACATTTCCACCGACAACGCGTCTTCAGCTGCATATCATCGACTGCCGGTTGATGTCCTGCAGGTAGCAGTAAAGTATTCCTGCTTGCGCCATCACGTCGACGGTTCCAGCGGCCATCACGTCCACGGCGCCCTTCAATTTCGAATCGGCTTTGATAGCCGGGCGCAGCAACGTCGGACCGAACACCGTTGCCAAGTTATGCAAGGACATCTTGTTGTCGCCTTCATGCTGATAAACCCTGAGAACAAACAATCACAATTGTTAATATTGAGTTAAGGGTTAGTTCAAAATTCAAAAATTTTGTGAATAAATGTTTAAAAAATTTATTGGTTTCACACATCCCTTATTAACTTAATTTTGTTTTATTTATTTTTTTATTAATTGAACATTTTTAAGATTAGTTATGTTAGTTTATGCCATTACTTTAATTTTATTTTTTACAACTTTTATTTTGTGAATAAATGTGTAAAAAATTAATTGGTTTCACACATCCCTTAACTTAATTTTGTTTTATTTATTTTTTTATTAATTGAACATTTTTAAGCAAAAAATTAATCGGTTTCACTTAGTAATATAATTTGGCATCTAATAAAAATGAAAAAAAAATATCCGCTACCCCTATGTGCGGCGTAATATGCGTACAAATTGGATGTAATCCATTACACTTTATTGTAATACCAAGTAATATTATGTAATTGAACGTAATATCACGTCATAGCAAGTAATATCACGTGATAGTTAAGTAATACAACGAAATATCAAGTAATACTTTTAGTAATATGTACATTTTGCGCTTGGGCGGAAATGATAATAGAATCAAAGTTTCTGATTCAAATGGAAAACAGGAAATAATAAAAAAAAACTTTGCTGGATTTTCCAAGTTCAGATCAAATCGAGGATCAAATATATAAAGAGTAAAATCATCCTAATATTAATACGTAGAATATTTTTACTTGATATATTCCATACCATACATTAAGATGTTTTATTGTATATAGTTGATCTGAACATACTAATTACTATTGTCAAAATAAAAACATCTTAATTATTAACAATGGATTGTAAATAAAACATAAGTACCTAAAGTTTTAGAAATATTATGTTTAATCAGTGAATAATTTAAACTTTATTCTTGTGGGCTAAAAAATTTATATATTCCATAGCATACATTAAGATGTTTTACTGTATATATTTGATCTGAACATAGTAATTATTATTGTCAGAATAAAAACATCTTAATAATTATTGTGCAATAATGTTTTATATTGTTTTATGTGTTATTTAAATTAAGGGTTATTTTATAAAGTTTTTTTTTGCAAAATGTTTTGTATTTATACTTAATGAGATACTTAACTTACCTATGAAAAGGTACCTAAATAAAAACCATTATAAAACCACAATGCATTGTGAATAAAACATAATACCTAATGTTTTTAAAATGTTATGTTTAATCAGTGTATAATTTAAACTTTATTCTTGTGGGCTAAAAAATCATTATTTATCGCGTTTCAAAAAATTCGATAACCTCACTTTCTACTTTTAATAATTGTACGTTTCATTTATCATTAAATCGAGCGTTTAATAAATAAAATTGTGCCATGAAGATAAAATGTTTATGCCATTCCGCCAGGAAGTATTTTTTGTGCTTCGCTCAGTACAAAAAGACGATAAATATTATTTACCTAACCTCAATTCTACACCTTTATAGACTGCAGTTTTATTAATCTATGGTTTAGATATTAATTTATCATTAAAATTATAGATGGAAGCACTTACATAATACTTAGTAATAGGACGTAATACCAAGTAATACAACGTAATATTAAGTAATACGTGAGGTATAACCAAATATTATTACGTATTAAGAGGTAATACATGGTAATTTAACGTATTACTTGGAAGTATTACGCGTTTTGCGGGTTAAATTAATTAAACATTTAAAAGACTTACTTTATTAAATGGTCCAGTATATATTTAATGGTGGCATGGTTCTGTGGGGGCAGTTTTTCAAAACACTCCTTTAATAATTCAGTTCTTCTCTTAAGATTACCGTTACTCTGATTAAAAGATTCCAAAAGCTCTGGGTATAAATGGTCTGTAAAAAGTGCCTCAGGTAACTCCCGAAGATATAATTTTAAAATACCAGTCACAGAATGTATATCAACTTCTTTTAGGTTTTGTTCAGCTTCATAATTATCTGTAAAAAAAATTACGTGTGAAATATAAATGGGTTGCGATTTTTTTGTTCCTACTTGTTTCAAATGACTTTTTTAATTTGGATATTTCAGTGGCAGATCCTGACACCCTGTATATTCCGATTTCAGCCATTCCCCTTCTCTCAACTTCTCTAATGCAGGCCGTTATGATAAACGGTATGTTGCGTTTTTGTCGTCTAAAAAATAATAAAACAAATTAAAGTTTTTATAAGTAAGTGTATTCACGTTTTAATGAAAATATTACTTTATTCATCTTTATTACGCAAAAAAGGTACACCTTGTAAATGTCGCTCCAAGTAACCGTTTACGAGATATGTGCGTTTATATTGTTTAGTGCAGGTACTCCATTTATTGTGATTAATTTGTGTACTTAAAATAAATATAAAAAAAAAAATTAAAAACATACAATTTTAAAAAACAATGACGAAGTTGAACAGTAACTAAATTTGTAGCGTCTCCGAAAGATTTATTTTATTCGTAACCAACTTTAAAAAAATGTTTCGAATCAAAATTGATGCACAATGGGTGCATTGAATTTTGATAAAAGACTGTCATGATATGGTCAGGCTAATATTTGTATATTTTATTATTTTTATTACAACACATTGCTTTGTATTTTCCTTGTATATTTATGAATGTTTTAGTATTACATTTCACGATAATATAGGTATTAATTAATGTAATGAAAGTATTTATTATGGTGAATTAAATGTGGTTTGTTTATATTTATTGGGTCTGATATTCCACAATAATCGGAATTTTTTATCCCGACCGTCAGAAATTTTATTATGACGGTAGGGATAACAATTTCTGATTATTGTGGAATATCCTTATCTAATAAATATATACCTACCACATTTAATCCACCATAATAGATACTTCACCTATCCATTAAAAATTATTTAAATAACCACTATACACACTTAACACACCTATATCAGAAACTTTAGCTTGCCATATCAGAACCTTTAGCGCGCCATATCAAAAATGGAATGGTTCTTGTAAGTGTCTTTATTGACTGCCGTTACATGCCCTTTAAAGGTAAACGCGACATAATATGTACAGTTAGCCTTTATAGGGCCTTTAGTTTATTAAAGGCACGTTTATAAAGGGCCATTATAGAACCTTTACGGTTGTTTGCTAGGCAATTTAAATGCAAATATGTTGAAACCTGTTATTTGCAGCGACTAGAGATGCGACTTGAAAAAAACGGTCCGTTTTTTTGTTTTTTTTTCAGGTTTTTTCACTGTTTTTCTTTAAATGTTTTTTTTTTTAATATTTTAGTTTTTTTTTCAAGATAAGTCCCATTTGCCCAACTTTTTATGTTTCCAATCCAGTTCGTGGACTAAAATTAGCCACTAAAGGACATTTAGTAAATGTAAATACAGTCTCGCGCTTTGCACGCGCCACCACCACCGAATTGACCAATACGGTCCGTTTTTTTGTTTTTTTTTCAGGTTTTTTCATTGTTTTTCTTTAAATGTTTTTTTTCATATTTTAGGTTTTTTTCAATCCTAAAATTAGCCACTAAATGACATTTAGTAAATGTAAATACAGTCTCGCGCTTTGCACGCGCCACCACCACCGAATTGACCAATAAGGGCCGCGCTTGTTTTGATTTGGTCGTAAAAAAAGTAACTACCTATAATATTTTTGATTCAGCGCTTGATTTTTCAAAAAGCAACCAAAAGCACTTTTTTCATGATTTTTAAAATTCATGTAGAGTATGGATTTTTTTTTTCAAAAAAACAATACCAAATTTTTGTAGAACATTTATTCATTGGTGGTTAGTCAGAACATTCCGTGGACCAAAAAAGAAAGCCAAAAAAATTTCGAATTTTTATATTACGGTATTCGTTAGGATTGAGCGTTGCACGTTTTTCATCTAAAAATCTCAAAACTAGAAACTTCGGCTCCAATACGACCATTTTTAACAAAGTCTCAGTCAAAATTATGTAACATATTCTACATTTCACTTTATTATTAATATACATTTTACTCAAAATTTCATTTTGAAAAATTACTCCATTTTTTAAGATTGATGTTATTTATTGACATTATATGCTTTTTTACAGCGGATTTGAAAAAAACAAAAAAAAAACGTTTTTTTTTTAGTTTTTTCATGTTTTTTTCACAACTGAAAAAAACCCGTTTTTTTACATCTCTAGTAGCAACATTTAGAAAGGACACTTTTTTCATGTAATAAAGATAAAAAAGTATAGATGACAGATGCTCGAGCGCTTTGCAAAGTGCTCATAAGCGCTCATAAATGCTCGAGCATTTATAATCGATGAAATATAAATTTTATTAAAAAAAAATTATTGAAAAAAAAATTCCAACAAAATAGAGGAATTGGATAAACCTGCACCACTTTTGTGACCTGCACATGTTCTGATGTAAACAGTAGTTATTTGTTGGTAAATTTATAACCCCGCTTTTCATTTTTGACGACAAATTCAAATATCGAGCACTTTGGTAAATGCTTGAGCATTTATTTATAAGCGCTCGAGCATTTATGAGCACTTATGAGCGCTTTTGAAAGTACTCATCCTTCTCTAAAAAAAGTAATAATTTTAATAAAATTAATAATTTTATGAAAAAACAAACATTTTATGCAGAAAGTTATTTAATAAACTTTCACACCTTTTTTCTTGGTTATTACCAAGTTTTGTGTAGAAGTAAATTTAGTTATATCGCATTATTTTGTTCTCAAGAATATGTGGTATTATTTTTTACAGGCATTTCAGGGACACCTTGTAGATTATATTACAAGAAATCTTAAAAATACTATCAATATCTTAAACATTTTTTTGATTGTTTGATAAACTTACCTTGCAACATTCTGTATTTTTTCTCCAAACAAGCTGCCAACTTTACCGCTCGGCACCCTCCTCAAACTCATTTCGCACGGCACAAACTTCAGCCCGACCCGCAGTTGGCTGCCGTTCACCATCAAGTTCATCTCGTGTATCTCCTTCTCGTTCAGCCACTTTCTGCTCAGCTTGTGTGTCAACTTGCCGTACAAGGTGGGCATGTCGCCGTCCCTGTACACGAGAATGCGAAGGTTCTCGCAACCTTCTAGATCTATGATGAAATGCTCGTTCCACACCGGAGCTGTGGAATCGCAAACGATTTTTGTCTTGGCTTTTTGGAAGAAGTGCCCGTAGAAATCGACCTCGGCGCACACATACAAATCTGAAAAATGTTAAACATGTGTTTTATCTATATTTGATGTCTGAATCAAACTAACAAAAACATTCGCCATCCACTCTCCTCAACTGGTAAAATTGAATTTGGTTTAAACGTTGGAATAATTCAATTATAATGAAAAATTAATTTTTAAATAGAAAGTTTGAACGTTATTTACCCTTAATCAGTATGAGTATGATTATGGGGACGTATGGCAGGCCCCAACGACATTATATTACACTAATCTCCCAGGGTTATTTTACCCCCTTTCCGTTCTCCTTCGTATCCCGCCACTGCACAGCAATACCTGTGTTTGTTGGATCAGAAGTTTTTACGCCGGCTGGTAGATCTACCCTAGGAGGTCGTGGATGACAGTGTCGATGGTTAAGGCCACTCCCGGATTTTTGTCGCCGGGTCGGGCCATACGCCCAGTTTAGGCTAGTGGAGAGCGGGACTAGGAGGGTAAAAGTTGGTTTTTGGAGGACATTGAACTGACCCAGAACTAAGTACAATCCGGAATCCTTCTCAACCGGGGCCTTAGTAATAACTCCATTCAATTGAGATTTATGAATGGGGGTAGAAGTGTTAGTACGCTGCTAGAACCTGTCCTGGTAACTCTTTAGAATTGTTTGCCCCCCTGTGAGATACTAAATCTTGTCTTCAGTACCGAAGTGTTGACGGCCACGACCCGCCGTAAGTGTCCTCTGCCTTGGTGGATATTCCTCATGTCGACTACCGACCTTATTCTTTATTAATTTTATTGTTAAATTAGTGTTTATACCGTTTACATTTAATTTATATCTTTGTATTCTTACTTTTTTTCCAAATTTAATTTAAAAATATAATTATTAATACACAAAATAAATAAAGCCGGCCCTGAAGTGTACGTAATTGGAATACGGCCATATGGCTGGCATTGGGTATTGAGAGGGTCGTTCTTCTTATCTTCTGTGATGTTGTTTATTTATTAGGCTTTTGTTTATTAAGCTTTGATTTATGGGCTGGTAACTTAAATGTCTATATTTAAATGCAGATACATATAATATTATATACCTATTCACACACACAACACTTTTTTTGTCATGGCTGCTTGATTTGGTTTATTTACTCTTATGCTTTTCAATTTGGTTAAGTTGTTTATGGGTTGTCTAGACTGAGAAAAAGGAGGTTGTTAGTTTAACACTAACGGAAACGAAATGAGACTTTTAAATAAACAATTATGCGCATTGGTCGTATTGAATGTGCCAAAAACTGTTTAGTTAGTAATTAAAACTTGAAAAAAATTACTTTTCTCAGTGTAGGGACCTGTTTGTTTTCTGAAGCCAGATGACATTTTTTATATAACGCTTAGTTTATATTAGAATCGAACTGGTACTGTTATTAGGTCATGCAATTAGGAAAATTACTTAGATGGACTAATTAGTTGAATTATTTTTACTATCCCTAGCGGACAGTCCGTGTTCCTTGGCAATCGCCGATTGTGGTGACTATACAGGTAATCAGTTGGTCAGGTAGCTTATCGGTGTGACCTAACCTTAATCACTCACTCTCTAGCAAACTTTTACGCTATAGCACTTTGTGACTTAACCGAAGCTCACCCGCACTTTTCAAACTTATTATTATTTCCTTTCTTTTTGCACTTGAATCTGTTATCACGTGTAGAATCAATATTGATTTTTTTGTTATTTGAACTTTAGCAGTGATGGCACTATGTAACTAGGAGCTCCTATCGAGACCCTAAACGCGACCGCTCGGCTCAAGGCTCACTGCGTCACTGAATATAAAGTTTTATCATATTACCTTATAAATAAAATCCCCACTTAAAAATTCAGTTCATAAACATTAAATCAACAAAGAGAACTTACCGCAAGGAAATTCAACGTTTTTCATCTCGTATATATGCAAATGCAAATCACCGACCAACAATTTTTCATCCTGAGAATTTCTCAACAAATAAGAACCCATGTTGGTCTTCAAAAACGTTCTGCAAGCGGTTATCCAAGTCTGTAGCTCCAACATTGTAAACGTTTTGGCGGACGGGGGCGGTTGTCCGGCCCTTTGCAATGTTAAAATCGCCTCTATCCATTGGTTTCGCTCGAAATCAGAAGACAAGAAGAACGTGTAGGGTTTGTTGTTTTGGCGGTGACGAATGCGGAACACCAAGTTCGGAGAAACCAGCACCAATTGGCTTTCAAGTTCCAGAAGACGTTTGCGGTACTTATCTGTGCCTCGAATACGGATTTTCTGCAAGAAATAAAACATGTAAATTAGGGTGGTCGTTAAAAATTAAATTTTTTGCGACGCCTCCTAAAAACATTTGTTTTGATGAAAAAACACTAGGAAATTTTTTTTTAATTAAAAACAACACGTGCCTCAAGACGATCTAAGTTAATTATAAGTATAATCATGTCTTTTCTGAAAATATGGAATAATTTTTTTGAGATTTAAAAATTATTAACAATGAACTTCTCCTTGGAGTGAAGAAATCTAGATATTAAAATTACGTTTGTACTAATTTAGTTTTAAAATAAAAATATCAATTTGAATATTTTTCATTTTTTTATTTAATAGACTGGGAAAAATTTTGAATTTAAATTTTTGTCTATTGTTATTTCGATTAACTATTGTTTGGGTTCTATAATTGTTTATATTTCGGATACAATTTTATTTTTCATAAAAAATTCCCAAAAAAACATTATACCAAAAAATTAACTTAGATTAAAAAAAAAATAAAAAAAATTCTTAGTGTTTTTTCATCAAAACGAAGCTTTTTAGGGGGCGCACATAAGGACGAACGTCCACATTAGCGCGCCAAAAATAGAAAAATGAACTTTAAAAAAATTAGTCAGAAACATCATTAACACGTAGTCAATAGACCAGTCCACAATAAAACGTATTTTTTTTTATATATATATTGTATACAAAAGACTCAGCACCACCCCAAAGTTGACCTTTTATTCGCACTACTATGAATGTAAAATCAAAAGTTTTTTTAGTTGTGTTTGGAAGCTTATGGCATATACTTTTATATGTAACTATTGTTATTAAACAAATTATACATGGAAAAGTAAGAATATATGTTTTATGAAACAGAATTTTTACGAAAAAAAAATTAAAAGTATAACTTTAGATAGAGTTTTAAAAAAAGTTCCGCAGAGTTCCGCCTACATTTTTGGCTACCATATAGCGTATCTTATTACCAATATGAGCATGTAAATTTTAGTTCCAGCCGAGTCCAGCCATAGGTTTTAGAGATTTTTTTTATCAAGTAAGTCACAGTGATCGTGTTAAAAAAGCTAGCCATACAAAAAAACATTATACTTTGTTAATATGTAATGAACCAATTATAAAATATTAGATCATCTTTTCTTAATCTGCATTACCTGAAAGTAATTGTTGTTAATTAAGATGGTGAATGCTAATATGTTCAATTTATTATGTTTAATATTTTACGACCTATTGTATATTAAATTTTAAATAAATATTTTGATTAAGGGTTTTTGTCTAATTAGTATTTTTGATATCCTCTTTAAAACTATTATTATTTTAAGAATTTTTTTTTGTAAAGTCATTTTAAGAAAATTAATGGTTATGGTAAAAAATATCACTCGGTATAGTAAATTAAAGTTTTGAATATAATTTTATTTAGCGCTAATAAAAACCTTTTTATCCTACATAAAAATTGTCTACCTATTTTTTCACACACCCTTAATTATTTTCTTTTAATTACACAAAATAATCAAGAAAATAACAAAACTTTGCATTTTTTTTAAGATAAAGATTAAATCAAGTCCTTAAAAGCATTTTTTATCATCATAATCGCAAATAACCCGTTTTAATATTTTTGGCGCCATAATTTGGTGATTCGTCCGCAAAAATTTAATTTTTAACGACCACCCTAATGTAAATAGAATATCTGACAGAACGAGATTACAGAAAACTAAACTTGTCCTGTCAAATCTGGACACACTGTAGGTTTTGTCAAACCAGTAGTAAAAAATCTTGACGTACTTTTTCTTCAGCATGCTTCTCCTCATGTCTCAACTGATCTCTGACATTGGAAGCCTGTGATTTTAAAGCCACAATCTGCGATGGAGCAGTTTCGTGCGAATTAGCAGTGGTCTCCTCGATTATAAAGATGTTTTCAACGGGAATAAACCATTTTAGTTCGAAAGTGTACTTTTGACCTGAAGCAGACTACAAAAAAATTAACTTGCGTAAAATGATAATTTTAAGTACATGATTGTAATTACCTTGTATTTTGCACAGGCTATAACGTCATTGAATAAAAACAGGTGACGCAGTTTCCTGGTATTTTCCGAATATTCAACGATAAAGGAATTTTTCACTAGCCTTCTTTGTGCCCTATCACTTGTCTAAAACAAACAAAAAAAACAAGCTTTAAAAACAGTAGGTACATATTTCTCGACAATAAAAAATAATTGATTAATTTATTCATATTTAATATTTTATCTGCTCCTATTGCATATTATTGGATTTTTCCGTATATAATGATAACCATTATAACCGGCCTGCCTAACAACGGGAATAATGACTGATTTCCAATTGTTAACCATTCCCACATAACACAATATGTTTTAAAAATGTTGTCAGGCCGTTTGGAGAACAACTTATTGAAAAGGTCACTAAAAGTTTTCTGATATAAGTGTCCTCTCAATAAAAACGTTTTTGTTGCCTGAGGCTAGGCCGCTTATGTCATCCACAAATTAGCGTCAGTTCGGCCATTTTCACTTTGTTGTCTGTGTTTTAAGTGCGTCGCTAAGTTAAAATAATAAATTATCCAGATAACCCTTCCTGCTAGGGGTATGTATTATATTTATTTTTAGTGTTTAGAATACTATTGCTATTTATGAATGGAAGTTTAAAAAACTAGCATAAACCTAACAAAATTGCTTAGAAAACCAAAAATATTATTGTTGATTAATGTTTAAAAACAAAAAAAAGTAATTTAACCCGAACGGGATTGAACTGAAGACTTTAATTTAATTTAAATTCTGTTTAGCACCTATCCGGAAAAATCCAAACACCGAAATTGCGAGGGAAACTGACATTTTACCGGAGTTACAATGGCTAGCTCAAGCTAAATTTAGAAAAAGGAAGATTGTAGATTTTAGAAAGAAAAATATTCTTTTATTTCTGTGATTTTTATCCAAGAATTTTTGTTTTTCATATGTTACTTTTAATTACATCAATTATTTCTAAAAATTTTTTTTTTAAATATTTGGCGTGTACTAATGGTATTCCACTGTTTTAGTATATTTGATATGAGAATACCACATCTACTTTTTGCACTCCAAAACAAGAAAATTCAGTATACAAAAAGTGTCGGATGTCACACGGACTTTATAAATATAAAAGTAACATTTTATCAACATTTTTACAACAACATTGTTAAAATAAATATGTAATGAACTGTAAATATTTTAAAAATATTTCCAAATATTTTTGTGATCTTGAGGAAACATTAATAAAATATAAGGTAATGTATCTAAAACATTTACAAAAATGTTGTGAAAAAATATTATTTTAATATAAAAAGCGGGACATCTAAATGTTGTAAAAATATTTTAGAGGCATTTAAATGATAATGACTAATATTTCTAAAATATTTAGTTCATTTAGAAAAACCACCTTTATAACGCCCATTATTGTACATGTTTCCATGACACTAAGTGACCTTTTAAATACACATTAAGAAGTTGTGTTTTTAGTCACGGGCCGAAGTTAGTTGTAATTAATTGACAGTTCTCAAATGTCATACAATCGTTATGTTCTGTGAAATAAAGGGACCTCTTGTAAAATAATATTAAATGTAAAAATTATTTTATTATCTCAACACGAAAATAGAAAAGTATTAAATAGTTTCTTAACACCAATATTTGAAGAGTTTACATGAACATTGTACTGACCTTTTAATTTCGCCAGAAAACTACATTAACTTAATTTTGGGCGAAGACTCCACTGTGGAGTGCCAATAAAACATTTCAAGGAATACATTTGATTTACACATAAAAATTTGACATTTAACATATCATTTTCAAGTTGGTAATTCTATTGTTTCATGTCGCTCTATACAAATTTTCAATTTAAATCATTTTTAGATAATAATAAGTACACACGTGTCGTAGAAAAAGTATAGTATGCAACTCATTTATAAACTTTTCTAGGCACTCATTTAATTATTCACTCGCTCGCAAGCTCGCTTGTGCCTAAATTAAATTCGTGTCTAAAATAGATATGGTATTGTCTATCATAATGATGGTATGCAATTATTTTTATAAGCTTCTCAAGATCTTACGTTTAATAAAAACTCGTTCTGCAAGCTCCGCTCGTGCATGCTTATGTGTTTAAAATTTATAGTATAAATTTATATAAATTACGTATGTACCTACTTATATTAATTACGTACCTACTTAAATAAATAATATAATGAGTCAAACCACGTCAAGTGGGACCAGAAAATTTCACGAAATCACCGATTTTGAAAATAATCACATTATTGTGTAGTAGGCATGACTCATATGTCACAGTAAAAAAATTGTTTTAAAATTCGTTTTTTTGGTAATGTTATTAAGGTTGACAATTTTGTCAAACTTTAGAGCACGGTAAAATTGAAAAAATAGAATCTCTGGGACCACTATGTATAATTGAATTAAATTTTACACACTATTGTAGAAATGTTTAGAGTATATAATGATCATTTAATTAAGGTTAATTTGTTTAAATAAAAGAATTTTGCATACATTTATTATAAACAATTGAAATTTTGTATGTGTTCTTCACGCTGAAAAAAAATTAATCTTGTGTCATAATATGCGGCAAACGTTTCCGTTTAATAAGATGTACTCAAAAATTTGCCTTTCATATGTCATTTCGGAGATATTAATTTTTTTATCCCGCTGTGCGCTTGATCAGTACGCGGCGCGCTTCGCTGCTAGCACGGTGTGCCTGAACGAAGTTTAAGTCACATACAAATTCTGCAGTTTCTTGTTCGGGACCCTTTAGTGACTTAAAAATGATATTTACCAAAATCCTAGCTGCTCCTCTTTTCCTAATTTTTTGAAAAATCTTTTTTATGCATTATGCTTTTTACTATATAAAAAAGTGATTTTTGTCTAACCCTGTATAAATCTAAGCATATATATAAAAACAGTTTCTCTCGTTTACAATATCGGTGTACAAATGTGTACTCTGGCAAAGGTAGACTTTGCTATAAACAAATAATTTTAAAAAAATTGAATTTTTTACAAATTAAAAAAAACAGTTAGAATTTTGGTAAATATATTTTTTAACTTCAACCAATTTTTCGTTCAAAATTGAAAACTACTAAAAAGCCTAAATTAAACAACATTTTAAATACTCTCTAAGCGTTATTTTATTAAATGTTATTACAAATCTATTTTTCTTGTAAAAGGTTAATAATAATGCCATTTTGTAACCTGATAGACCTAGAAATATCTAAAAAAAAATTGGGAATAAATATTTTTCGAGTGTTATGCTAAAATCATGAATTTACGCTTTTGCATTATTAAAAATAAGTGATTTTTGGCTAACCCTGTATATATCAAATGATGTGAACAGTATTAAAAAATATTCTCTAAGTCTCCTAAATAATATACTCCAATTTTATAAAAATCCGTGAGCAAATGTGTACTCTGTCAAAGAGATAAACAAAAATTTAAAAAAAAATCATGAATTTTCGAACAATTTCGAAAAGAGGAGCAGCTAGAACTTTGGTAAATATCATTTTTAAGTCACCAAAGGGTCCCGAACAAGAAACTACAATCAGTTTTTGGCGGCATTTTTATGTGACTTAAACTTCGTTCAGGCACACCGTTAAACCGTTCGAACGGACGAGCTAGCAGCGAAGCGCGCCGCGTACTGATCAAGCGCACAGCCGGACAAAAAAATTAATATCTCCGGAATGACATATGAAGGGCAAATTTTTGAGTACATTTTATTAAACGGAAACGTTTGCCGCATATTATGACAAAAGATTAATTTTTTTTCAGCGTGAAGAACACATACAAAATTTCAATTGTTTATAATAAATGTATGCAAAATTCTTTTATTTAAACAAATTAACCTTAATTAAATGATCATTATATACTCTAAACATTTCTACAATAGTGTGTAAAATTTAATTCAATTATACGGAGTGGTCCCAGAGATTCTATTTTTTCAATTTTACCGTGCTCTAAAGTTTGACAAAATTGTCAACCTTAATAACATTACCAAAAAAACGAATTTTAAAACAATTTTTTTACTGTGACATATAAGTCATGCCTACTACACAATAATGTGATTATTTTCAAAATCGGTGATTTCGTGAAATTTTCTGGTCCCACTTGACGTGGTTTGACTCAATATAAATATTTGTTTACCTTAAACATCATTTTAGTCTGTATCATATTAAACTGGTCCAAAAACTGTTGCGTAGTAACCAAAGCCTCTTTAACGCTATTGTAGTCCGGATGATTTTTGGGGATGCATTTGATGAGGTCGTGTAAGACCAAGCCGTTTTTCTGCATTCTTGCGACTGGTTTGTGCAAAAGATCTTCCAAAGATATGGGCTGCTCGGACAAGTGTTTGCACGTTATATTCTTGCTGATTTCGCTGAATTGGCTATTGGCTTCGCTGCATTTGCTCACCGTGTCCAGAGCTCGGCCGTAGTTACTCAGAAAAGCACCGTAAATTGTTAAATTAGATGCCTAAAAAATAATTCATCCAAATAACAAAGAATTTAATAACGTCAACGTAATACTTCATATTCAAATATTCAGTCATATTTTATGAAATTTTCACTTTTTTCAGAAGAAAACATACTTTTTCAAAGTTTATTATCTTTATTTTACTTAAAAAAATATGATTTAACAGTTGGGTCTTGACACTTAAAGTGGGAGGACGCATCCCGCAGCGTATACGATACAAACGTAGTAAAGTACCAAAAACGAAACTAAGTATCCGGAAATATCGGTAATCATTAATAAATAAATAAATAAATAAACAAACAAGTGCGAAAAGGGCAACAAGTGCGAAAAGTGCGGTAGGACCCCGGTTAACGCCGTAAAAGTGTGCAAGTTAATAAGTAATTAAGGCTAGGCCACAACGATAAGCCAACCGGTCCACATGGATCAGAGATTTGCCACAATCAAAGTGTGCCAAAAACCTTCAGGCGAGGTCAAGGAACAACGGACAGCCCGTGAAAGACAAACCATCAGGAACTGCATTCAATACGACCAATGCGCATAATTGTTTATTTAAAAGCCGAAGGATACCTACAGTCTTTAAAGTAAACTCGTACAGTTTTTGAATATAATTTTACTACTACAAGATTTCATAAAACGGTAAATTATGAAAAATCTCTAATATAAGCACTCCTATTGTTTGTCTAAGATTTCTTTTATTGTCTCAAAAACTAAATTTTAAAAAATAAGACAACATTTCCGTAAGTGTTAAATAACAACCTCATTTGCTCAAAGTATACAAACCATAAACAACTCAACTAAATTGAAAAAGGCGTAAGAGTAAATAAACCAAAACAAGCAAGAGGACAAAAAATTTAGATCATAAATAAGTGTTGTGTGTAAAAGGTAATATTGTATATCAATAGCCAATGCAGACCATATGGTCCCATTCCACTACATACACTACAGGGCCGGCTTTATCTATTTTGTATATTAATATTTATATTTTTAAATTAAATTTGGAAAAAAAAGTAAGAATGCAAAGATATAAATTAAATGAAAACGGTATAAACACGGCAGACGTCAGTGTGCTACCGGGGACTTCGGTACGGAAGACAAGACTCAGTATTACACAGGGGGGCAAACAATTCGAAAGAGGTTACCAGGAACCTGATACTGAATCGGAAATACACCAACAAGGACAGGTTCTAGCAGCGTACTAACACTTCTACCCCCATTCATGAATCCCAATTGAATGGGCTTATTACTAAGTCCCAGGTTGAGGAGGATTCCGGATTGTACTTGGTTTTGGGTCAGTTCAATGTCCTCTAAAAACCCTTTCCAAACTGGACGTATGGCCCGACCCGGTTGACAAAAATCCGTGGAGCGGCCTTAACCATAGACACTGTCTTCCACGACCTCCTAGGGTGGATCTACCAGCCGGCGTAAAAACTTCGGATCCAACAAACACAGGTAAAGCTGTGATTTGGCGGGATACGCAGAAGAACGGAAAGGGGGTAAAATAACCTTGGGAGATTAGTGGCGGTTAATGTCTTTGGGGCCTGCCATACGTTCCCATACTCATACTTACAAAAATACGATTTATTCTACGTCGTAAATCCCATAGTTGGCTAACTTTCTATTATTTCAGCAACAAAAAAGATATTCAACTTTAAAATTAAAAAAAAAACATATTTATAAATATCATGTTTTCATTTTTAATGATTTAATGCTTTATACTTTTTTTTTAAGAAAAAAACTAAAATAAAGACGAACTTTGAAAAATTAATGTTTTTTTGTGAAAAACTAAAAATTTTTATTGAATATTTTGTAAAAGAAAGTTTAAAAATAAAAAAAATTGAAAAAAAACCCGATTATTCAGTTTTTAAAACTTATGAGCTATAAAAACTTACATAAACGTTTTTGGAATAACATAAAAATTTAAGCTAAATCAATAGTGATCGATTTGGTGTGAAAATTAAAATCGGGAAAATTTAGTAGTCATGAGCTACAAAAATAAAAAAAATTTTGTTTTAAAGCTTTGTTTTCGAGATACAGGTTGTAAAGTTATTAAAAAAATATTTGTTTTTTCAAAAATTTTAAAAACTTCTGGACCTAATTTAATTAAACTACTGCTGTTTGATAAGTCTAATATTATTATTAAATTAAGCAATTAAAAATAAAAAATTGTTAGAGACCAAAAAGTTATATTTTTAATTGCCCAATCTAAATATATTAGGGTCATTTTCAAGAAACACCCGCTTTAAGGAAAATGAAGATCAAAATTATTTTTTTGCTTAAATTAACTTTTGGTTGTATATTTATAAATGTTTAGAGTTTTGTTTACTTACATTTAAGACAGGCAGTGTACTTTTTATTTTTTTACGTTTTTTTCAGAAAAATGTGTTTAGCTAGCTTTATATATCTCCACTGTGTTACCAATTTGAAATCCAAAATTTAATTCAATAAAAAAAATTGTTATAAAAATAATTTGAAATAAAATGTACTTAGTTCACAAACTTTTGACTCCAATTTTTTATTTTATTTTATATTAAAAATTGTATGCTTTTTTTTACATATTTATGTTAGTTAAGTTACTTTTTAAAAGAAGCCATTCCGATTCTTTGTTAAAAAACAACACCATTAATATTTTCTTTTAGTCACTGTATTAGCCAGTTAAACTCTAATTTATAAACAGGTATTACCAAGTGATAGTAAAATCATTTTAAGTATTTTTTTAACAAAAACTAAAAAAAGTAACGAAATAGACATTAGTATCACAACGGACTGGGGTACACAAAATACTTAATCAGATAACGTAAAAAAGAAACTATATAGGGTGGTACGATTTTAGAGTAATGCATAAACAAAATCCCTTGTAGTGGTGCTCACTTGCAGAATAACAATAACAACTTAGATTTCTAAATTATAGACACCTTTGACTATAAGCTGGTGAAGGTCTTTCGTCCTTTTTAGTACTTGTATATTGCGTGGAATTTTCCCTTGGATGTAATCTATATCACGAGTTGTAATCACAAATAATTTTAAATTGGTTTATTATAAACTACTTTTAATAAAAGCGACGGTAAATATCCACTTTGTTGTCGAAAAATTCTATTGCGTTACCCTAAATTCCATTGCGTTACCATAAGGTAACGTAATGGACTCGGTAACGCAGTGGACAAAGTTTTGTGAAACCATATTTAGAAATTAATAATAAGACATTACAGTCATTAATTACTCTCAATAAGCTTTAGTGCCCTAAAATAAACATAAATATGAAAAATAGTATTTTTTCTTACCTTATTTTTATAATTTTTTTTTGAGTAACTTAGCGGACAAACAATTATTACATTCGCGTTACCCGCACCTGTTTCAACCCATATCTTCTTCCTGATTGAATAAATAAATTCAGCTGGGTAATGTGTACGTCCGAACATCATTTGTTGATCACGTGAGTGCCAAAAAAGTTGCCATATATATGTTTTTTTAAATATTCTATCGGTAACGCGTCGGACGTAATGCAACGGAAAAAATGTCTGGGACATGAGTTAAATTTAAAAAAGTAGATTAAAATTAATTAATTTATATATAAATTGTTTACTGTATTAACTAAGGATGTTATGGATTGCTATAAAGCAACACAAAGTTCTGGTTATTCAATATTTAAAAAAAACATGTATGTAAGTTTTATAAAACGCTAATGGGACATGCAAAAATGAGTGTTTCACAAGTTTCAAAATTAAAAAAAAATTATTCTGAAATAACTAAACAAACATTTTCTGAAAGAGTTTACTAAGGGCTTGTTGGGCTTTCACTTGGTTTATAAATCAATAAGATCCGATCATTTTTAACAAAGTTATTGGAATTCAAACTTACGGACAGCGGAAGGCGGCTGTTTTTTGAAAACGACCCATTATCAAAATCATAAAAATGCAGTTACCATAATTTTGTTTATTAACAAGTTCATATAAACTTGCCACTTCTATTGACTGAATTTTCCCAATTAAAGTCTGAGACAGGGTATATAACAATGTATATTAATTTCTTACCATGTTTTTAAAAACTGGTCCAATTTTGGTGTCCCATCTCTGGCTGTGTTTCCTAAGCATTTCCAAAAAGTTCTTGTGTAACTCAAATAGGTCAGGTATTTTGTAGAATATTGTATCCAGTTCCGGTTGGGTTGCAATTGGTTGTGATGTTGATACTGTAGCTTTAATAGCTTTTAAATACTAAAAAAAAACATATAATTTGTTGTTGCTACAACATTAGTTTACTTACCCTTATAAGAACGTTAAGCCATTCAACATAGTTACTTTCACTGTCAATGATGTTTTGAATGATGGATTTGTACATGGAAAGTCTTTCAGCTTCTTTGATATCATTTTCCTTAAAATTAAAAAATTATTTAACTCATACAACTCATATTTTCCGGTTGATTTCAAGTATTGTCTTTTTAGGACATCAATATTCTGATCTGTTTTTTTATGAATGGACATAATATAAGATGTATTAAAATAATAGAATAGAAAGTTTATAGGGACCTATAGAAGCGAGCTCCCGCCCTGAAAAGCTATAGGACAGTTGACTTACGTTAAGGAACTTTCTTCTAGTCGAAGGAGTCATAGATTCCAAGGAACTGGAACTGGCATAGGAAACATTATCAGCATTATTTTTCTTCAGTTCTGCCACTTCTTCATGCTCTTCATCGCTACTGCTGTGATCGTTGCCGTTTTTCTTCGTTGATCTAAAATTACATCAAAATCTTGATCAAACCAAATCCATGGCACATTCTATTCACATCTATTTATGAGTATTGGAAAAAGATCTTTCCATTTTTATTATTTTTTAACTTGTTTTAAGAATATAGAAATATTATTAAAGGTTATATAAAATCTAGAATGTTCCATTAAAAAAACTCTCAAAGTGAACCCTGTATAACTATAATACTGTTTCGCGAAAGCGGCAATGTTATATGGATAACGCTTTAAACGCCAAAAACTTTTTCTGGGCTTGGTAAAATTATTTGTAAAATAACTCATCTTTAATAATGCTCAAAAGGTTGATCATCATTTGGAACTTTTCTCAAAAGGATTGAGAGGATTCCCAAATCATTATTAATTTTTTGAGCAGCATTAAAAATGAGTTATTTTGCAAATAATTTTGTTTACCCCAGAAAAAGTTTTTGCCGCTTGGTTCATTTTCGATTAAAGTATCTCCACAGTACTTACTGTATAAAATATTCGATGTTTACATAGTTAGAGGTACCCGGCGATTGCGGTTCCTGAATAGTCTGGGTGGATTCCCTCTTGGAACCCAACGGTAAGGTGCTGGACGAGCTGAACACGTTCTCGGTACTTGAGTGATTGCTTTGGATTACGCATTCTTCTTCTTCGGGCGCCACCATGTCGTAGAAGGGCTCGTCGATTAGTTCCGACGACGAGGATATGGAGTCGCTGTTTCTTGACCTGTTTTTTTCTTTGCTTAGGTTTTTTAGGGATTCCGGTCTGGCAGGTAACCTAGAAGGAAAAAAATAGTGTAATATAAAAATTATCATAGGACGTCACTTTCTCGCACGAGGACAAAATTGCATTGTACTTGTGCGAGAAAACGTCTTTAAGATGAGTTCTTTATACTATTTTTATACTAGCAACAAAGAAAATTCGCTTGAACCACGGAAAATATATCCATCCCAATCAACAATTAGTAAGGTTAATAAATAAAAACAATATGTATTAGGGTGTTTCAAAAAAATCGACTTTTTCTTTTTCTTCAAATGGTCAGCAAATTCTTTCAGAGGATGTCAAAACAAAGACCTCGTTAAAATTTGAGCTTTTAATTTGAAGATTTAGAGGTCGCGGATCGCAATTTTCTATTTCCCATTTAAATAACATAGGAAATTATTTTTTTTAACTTTGGAATTTTATACGTCTATATCGAATCAACTTATAGTAAATTTAACGCTCTATAAAAAATGTCTCTTATAATTTTTCTATAAATTGATTTCTTCCAGAGTTATTCGAGGCCAAAGTTTGATTTCCATCAAATTTTCTCGTTTTTTTAACTTTTAGCATCATGTAGTAAAAAAATCACATATTTATATCTGAAACATAGGAAGTGTTGTAAAAAAAACAAAAAAACGTCACTTTTTTCCAAAGCCTACTACAAAGTTTTAATGAAAATATGAGATGTGTATAATATGCAGAGTAATTTATTTATAAATGCATTTTTCTCGAAAATGGTGCATCTGAGAAATTCAAATCAAGAGTACCTATTTTTCGTAAAAAACTATAAATTCTCATAATTTCATAAAAAAAATTAAATTATTAACCCAGAAAAAAGTTGGGGCTATTTTTGTAACTTTGCCCCCTTCAAATGTTACAAAAAAAGTGTTATTTTTATACGAATAATGCACTGTTGAAGTTTGGCCCCCTGATTTCGGGACACCCGTATAATGATAATTGTACCATAAATGTTAAAAAAAAACGCGAAAATTCGATGGAAATCAAATTTTGGCCTCGAATAACTCTGGAAGGAATCAATTTATAGAAAAATGATAGGAGACCTTTTTTGTAGAGCTTTAAATTTACTATGAAAATCTAAGATGATCCTTGACATAAGTTGATTCGCTTCAGACGTATAAAATTTCAAAGTTAAGAAAAAAAAATTCCCATGTTATTTAAATGGGAAATAGAAAATTGCGATCCGCGACCTCTAAATCTTCAAATTAAAAGCTCAAATTTTGACGAGGTCTTTGTGTTGACATCCTCTGAAAGAATTTGCCGACCATTTGAAGAAAAAGAAAAGGTCGATTTTTTTGAAACACCCTAATATGTATAGACAAAAGAGTCGACTTTCTATCATCGCCCACGTACAGTGGTGGATAGAGAATTTCGAACATCATAATTTGGCCATCCTTGTGTAATTCTGTAAATAGCAAAGATACAATAATGACCATTTTTGCTGTCATTGTCAAAATGACAAGAATAGTGATAACCGGAAGTAAGGTCGTTGTCCATAAAGGCAGTTTAGATGTTAATGTCAATGTCGTTCGAAATTCCATGTACCCCATTGTACAAAAACGTGCTGTATACACAGTGTCCAAAGTTAAATAAGCAAATTGGAGGCATTTTTCCACTGATTAAAATGGTGCAACCCATTTACAAAAATAATATTTTTAAATGAGACATCCCGTACATTTTTACATATTTTGTAAGAAAATTTAATTTTGAAGAAAAAAAAAGGATTTTCAATATATTTATAAATATACAACATTAAGAAATTGTTTCAGTATCGAAAATATTAAAAATAAAATTAGATGCCTTTATTATATTATTGTTTTAATCTTTAAAACTCTTTACTTCCAATAACAAAAGTGTATTTTGATGTAAAATTTATTTTCTTCAAGCAAAGATTATTCTTGTTAAAATAAAAACATTTTAATTAATTTAATTAAATTTGATCAAAAAAATTAAAGTTTTTTTATTCCGAACTAAACCCCCAAATTTTGTACGTTGTCAAATTCCGAATAAAAAAACAAACTGTTATGTAAATATTAGGGTGCTTCAAAAAATAAAATTTAATTTTTTTTCGCTCTTACCCTCTCAAGTGTTTCTATTTAATATAAAAAAATCCTCACCAAATATGGGCGTTCCAGCTCAACTCTAAGAGGTCGCTGTTTTTATTTTAATTTCCCATTTAATTAACATGGGAAAAATAATTTTATGTTTGGAATTTTATACCTCAAAGTAACTTATGGCAATGATCATTGCAGTTTCTTATATAAAATGTAACGCTCTACAAAAAAGCTCTTTTATTATTTTTCAGGGTTCCCTCTTTTAAAACCATTTAAAATTCCCTGACTTTTCCAGGTTTTCCCTGACCAAAGTCCCTATAATTCCAGATAAATAAAAGAAAGACATAAAGACAATTATCTCCCAAAATAGTGTCCCATAAGAATTATGTTAAGTCAAAAATAGCGTTTATTTTTGTTAATATTTATTTAAAAATTAAATATTATAATAAAAATTAAAATAAAATTTTAATAAAAATAGTTTAACATAAAATAGATTCTTTGGTACAAACATAAAAAACATTCTTTGGTATACATTTATACAAATATACCATATTCATCAAAGCAATGCACAACAAACTTTAACAATTTAAAATTAATTATGACAATTGTTTTAATTATTGTTAATTGTTAGTTTGTTTATCAGGTGCATTGCTTTGCGATTTTTTAGTGTGTAAAATTTTTTTGTGTAAAATCCTCGATAATTACCGCCGTTACGGCGGCGGCGTACGAAAACAATTGTTTACGATACCAGTGTTGCCAATACGGCGACTTTCAACGAAAAAGGGTCAGAAAACAAGCCGTTTTATAAATTTCCCTGACTTTTACCATAATATTAACAAATTCCCTGACTTTTGCGCAGACTTTCAAAATTCCCTGACTTTTCCCTGATTTTATTGGACCTAAACGGATTCCCTGACTATTCCAGGTTTTCAAGGATTTTCAGGTGAGAGGAAACCCTGTTTTTCGATAAATTGATTTCTTCTAGAGTTATTTGAGGTCAAAGTTTGATTAACATCAAATTTTCTGTTTTTTTTTTTTTTTAATTTTTAAAACAAGGCAGCGGGGGGGGGGGCAAAATGGGGTACCCAAAAAATGAGCATATGAAAAGTTTTCCAAAATTGTACCATCCTTTTTCCCGCTCTACAGGCTCAGAATAATTATTTTCGATTAAAAGCGTGAACTTGTCAATATATTTTCAAATAATTTAGAAACCGAAAAAAAACCTATAAAATGGGTAAAAATATTTAACACTTCTCTTATGAAGTTAAGTTCCATTTTCAAAGGCGCGTTGCTAAAGCATTTTTGACACCATGTTCTTAGGAAGTTTTGCGCTGTAGAATCCCTTCTTAAAATATTTGAATGCATCCATTCCATGGAATCCGTTTACCATACAAAATCATTTTTATTTTTAATTATTTTTTGTAAACAAATTGTTACATTACTCATTGATGGAGTTTAAGGCTGATAAACATACTTCCAAATTAAATTTTAAAAATCCAATCTTTTTTTGGGTGTTTTATTTTGTTTAGTTATTTATTTTAATACCAGGCTGAAGGACCCCGGTCGATGGCCTTTTGTATATTTTGTATTATATGTTCTGTATTGTACTGAATATGCAATAAAAACTTTATTTATTTATTTATTTATTATTTTAATATTTTAACAGCTGCAATTAGGTAAAATTTTACTTAATAAAATATTTTTTCAGGTCATTGCTTAAAATATAAAAAAAAACATTTCCATTCCTTATACTTCATTGCATAAAAATGACCACAACTAAGATTCTAAAAATTCCCATGTTTTGATTCACACAGGAAGCAATTTATTGATAAGGGTTAGGCAATAGAATACTTTTAAGTTTTAAGTGTGGCAACAAAATTTAAATAATGTATGTAAAACAAAAGTGGTTGATAAAAATTCCAAATGAATCATATTTAATTAAAAAACCATCTTGTGATATTTCTATGAATTTTAATTGAAAATTACTTTATTTATGTTAAAAAAAATTAAATTTACTTACTTTGGGGGCAGTTTGACAGGTGAAGCTGTTGATTGCTGCTTAAGTCCGTTTACCTCAATGACGGTGACGAAGGTGCCCGAATCGGCTTCGGGAGTTGTCGGTTCGATTGGTTTCTCCGCATAGGACGTCGTCATTTGATTCGAGATTTCGTTTACGCACATGTTCGCCGAAAAAACTTCAGTTTCGTCATTATTTAGCGGGGTTGTAGGTGGAGTCACCATCGATTCATTCTTATAAGAAAAAAGTATAATGAATTAATACTAAACTTGTATTGACGCACTAACGCCGTGCCACGCGATAGGAGAGTATATTTTGTTTCCATAAAAATCGTTCATAGATGTTTCTTAAATCGGATGAGAAAATACACAACGTTGTATTTTTTTAAATTTAATGCTTGGTAACTGCTTAGTAGGTAACTTTTTATCAAAATGAAATTGTATTTTATTTACTTAAAATAACCCCCTACAACGTGGGGGTTTTAACACAGGACATTATAAGATCAAATAGAAAAATAAGCTTTCAAACATTTAACAAATTGCCAATTTGAATTGAAAATTCAATTTTTATATGATGATATATATATATATATATATATATATATATATATATATATATATATATATATATATTGTACAGTCTATTTTTTTAATGTTTTACATTCCGTCATCAATTTGTGAAATAAGCAGACATTACAATTTGCTTTTTTCTTTGTATAGGTATGTGGATGTATGCCAAAAACAGGTTTTTGACATTTAAAATTAAAATAAATAGTTAATAAATATTGTCAATATATCAGCCATATATCCTAAACCCTTAAATTGCATCTAAAAAAATAATAACTTTAGAAATTGATGTTGTACTTAATTTAGATATACAGGGTGTCCTGAAATTAGTGCACCATACTTTAACAGCAGATTCTACGTGTAAAAATAAGAAAAAAGTCCCTATAAATATAGGTCGAGAAATGCCTCCTAAGGGAGCTACAGCCCCCGAAAAGGGAGCCCCTAAAGATGGTTTTTATCTAATATAAATAAAAAAGTAAAAACACCCTGTCACTTACTACATGAAACTGTCACCTGTCTTAAATTATTCTATTTTTTCCTAAACATGGCAGCCGTATTCCAAGGACCACGCGAGTCCATTTCTATGGTTGTGATTTAATTGTGAATTTTTATGCCATGTAAAATAATTTTCAAATCGATTTTATGCGAAAACGGTGTATGTTATCGAAGTTCAACAAGATGACCTTTTTTATGTGCAAAACTCTAAAATTTTATAATCTGACACCAAATTCTGGTACAAGATACGTACAAAAAAGTTAAGGTGGTTTTAACCCTACTTCCTATCAATCTGACCCAAACCACATAAAAATTTTTAAATTGTTATTGTTACGTCTTATTGGTCATAAAAAGTTTAATTAATTCCCCAAATTTCATTCTTATATTTCTAACGGTTTTGGAGATATTAAATAAAAACCATCTTCAGGGGCTTTCCTTTTGGGGGCTGTAGCTCCCTTAAGAGGCATTTCTTGACCTATGTTTATAGGGAGTTTTTTTCTTATTTTTGCACGTACAATCTGCTGTTAAAGTATGGTGCATTAATTTCAGGACACCCTGTATACAATTTTCATAACCTCTTACCAATGGAAATTAAGATATTTACCTAAAACCCTAATGTTTTTATCTGTAACTCAGAACCAATGAGTTATTTAGAGACATTATTGTTAACACTTGTATTCCTACCTCTAAAAGTGACTGTCTCATAGTATGAGACTGTTACTAACATTAACAACAAAACTATTCTAAATATTTTATTTCATTATGATTATTAATTGCTTGTTTTTGAAAATATATTGTTTTCTTTATAAAACATAAACAATATTTCTACAGACTAAAAATGCAATAAATTGAACAAAAATGTTAATATAAATTTTATTATACATGACACAACCACATTAGGTCAAGTTTTGTTTAGGGAGCCAGCCACATTAGATGATTTACTACAACAAAAAAGGCATAAATGATGAAACAAAATATACACCCCAATCTGCACACCAATCCTGGAATATGCATCTGTTTTACTTATTAATGCTTGTAGACTAGCACTAAACAATATAAATATTGGGGAAACCCTCCAGGAAACCTTATCACTTATTATCACCATGGTGATTGCATGGTAATTGCAATTATGGAAAGATTTGCCAGATTAGCAACAAACTTTATCACCAAGGACATTAACACCAATATTCTTAGCAATTTATGTTTGGAAGTTCAGGGCAATAGAAAATGCAAGCACCCAGAAAAGACTCTTTGAGAATATTTTTTTACAATTAAGGGTCAATCCATGTCAACTCAACACACCCATTTTACCACACCACCTCAGATTTTCTTAAAATTTGATATACTTATACTATGTACTAAGACTAAGAAAAATACCAATTTTTAAATTTTTATCTCACACCGTTTCCGATATATGGCTATGTAAAGTTTTTAAAAACTCGCGAAAAAAGTGTGAACGTTTATTTTTTAAATTGCGCTGGAAGCTGTCCTAATTTAGTTAGAAAGCTGGGAGAGGTGTCATTTTGCAGCATTTTAAATGCTCTTTCAAATGACATACGACTGCCAAGGGTATTAATAAAAAGATTTGGTTCAAAATCCATATATATATTTTGATTCAATTTTTTTTCAAAAAGTACATAATTTAAAATTCTCAAAATATTTGTATAAATACTTAGTACTGTTTTAAACCATATAGTAAAATATAAATGTGGGGTCTTAATGGGTTCATGTTAAAAAAAAATATTTGTGATGCTGGTTTTTCACTTAACTAATTTTGACAGTTTCGTTACATCTTTCCTGCAGGTATGACAAATCATGGAGCCAATAGGCATTTGTGGAAATAATCCAGTCATCCATGCTGGGACTTTTCTCAGTTTTTTTCTGTCTGTAATAAAATGATTTATTTTTTTCATTGGATTATAACACTGCACTATTACAATAGTAGGCTCCATGTTGACACCAAAATCACTTTAAACACACCTCATTTATAGTTTTATTTTTAAATAAACTACGAATATATACAGTAGTGATGTCGTATTTCGAATTAAAATATTCGTTTAATCCGAGTTTTGAGATATTCGGATGCATCCGAATAATGAAATATTTTATGGAATAGGAATCGGATTCGGAATAATTTCGTATCCTCCTATGAAAAATCCGGTTTCGGAATCCGAAATTCGGATGAATTGCATTCGGTCTCAAAATTTTTTGTTTATACCGTAGCCCTCTAGTTTTTACCAACCGAACTCGATGACGACTCATACGTTAAAAAAAATGAAAACTAAATAGTTTAATGTAAATTACCAATACAGAACACCATTTAAAATTATATTAGATATGAAATATATTTATTGCCTAATATTATTTACTTAATTTTTGATATAGGTATTTATAATAAAATGACAGTTTTAATTAATAATAATTTAAAATTAGTTAATTAAAGGTATTAGCGCCCTCTTTGTTGAAATGCCGCGAGTGTCACTGCTACTGGCTTACTCGGAATTAAAAAATGTGAATTCGGAATAGGATGATTAATCCGAATATTGAAATATTCCGATTCCGGATAATCCGAATATCTAAATCATCCGAATATCTGCATCACTAATATACAGGGTCCGATAAAAGTTCCCTGAATTTTTTTTTTAAGCGAGTTTAAAATTTATCAATAACGTTTTCGCGGAAATTAATTGCTCGAGCAGGTTCCTAGAACCCTTTCAATTCTGAAAATATTCATTTTATGTTGTTCTGTTTAAAATTTAGTTCAATATGAATCGCCAAAAAAAGCGTATCACAGTAATTGAATTAAAAAAGTCGGGAATGTAGGCAGCCGATATTATTAGGGTTCTTAGAACCCTTATATTTTTGAAAATATTCATTTTATGTTGTTTTGTTTAAAATTTAGTTCAATATGAATCGCCAAAACAAGCGTATCACAGTAATTAAATTACACAAGTCGGGAATGATGACAGCCGATATTATAAAAAAAATACAATTGTCAGGCTTAAGCCTGATAAACGTTGAATAATGTCAAAATTAGTTAAAAGTGAAAAACCAGCATCAAAAATACTTTTTTTAACAATGAACCCATTAAGACCCCACATTAATATTTTATTATATGATTCAGAACACTACCAAGTATTTATACAAATATTTTGAGAATTTTAAATTATGTACTTTTAAAAAAAAAATTAAATCAAAATATATATATGGATTTTGAACAAAATCTTTTCATTAATACCCTTGGCAGTCGTATGTCATTTGAAAGAGCATTTAAAATGCTGCAAAATGACACCTCTCCCAGCTTTCTAACTAAATTAGGACAGCTTCCAGCGCAATTTAAAAAATAAACGTTCACACTTTTTTCGCGAGTTTTTAAAAACTTTACATAGCCATATATCGGAAACGGTGTGAGATAAAAATTTAAAAATTGGTATTTTTCTTAGTCTTAGTACATAGTATAAGTATACCAAATTTTAGGAAAATCTGAAATGGTGAGGAAAAATTTCTTTTTAAAGTGTGTTGATTTGACATGGAATGGCTCTTAAGGGAGAATCTATAATCTAATCAATTAATAAAAAAAGGACCTCAGCCAATAGCCAATTGTAAAACTGTTTTTCTTTTTTGCAATAAAGTTAATTATTAATTATTATTAATGTTATTGATTTGTAATTTTAAGAAATATTTTGCATGGAAAACATAATTTTTAGTAAATCGGGGTGTGACCATTCATTAATTCATAAATTCATCATAAATTAATTTACTCTAAGAACTAAAATAACAATACCTAGATTGACTTTTAATGACATCATTTAAACAAATGATACTACAGCAGGATCAATATTCAAATTGAAAATTATGAATGAATACCCAAGAACTCTGTATACAGTGTTCTTGGAATACAAAATAACTTTTACATTTTAATTAGTTTCTGCTTAAATTTACAAGATTAGTCACAAATTCAAATGATACTAAAGAAAATATTTACTTTAGATATGGTATCTGTTGTGACATCACCAATTTCCTCGCAATTTTCGTCTGGTTTTTCTTTTGCCAATTTTTTCTTGTGTAATTCCACATCGTTAAGTAATCTTTCCAGATACTCCACGTAAAATTCCTCCTTTTCCAGCTCCTCCTTAAGCAAAGAGACTTTCTGTTTATGTTTGGCCAAATTTGCCCTGACGTCCTCCTCCCAAGCGCCAGGTAGAGGACTTTCCGGGAATCTTTGCAGCCACACTTGTTGAAAATCACAAAAAACACTCATTTTAAATTAGTTTATTGCCCAATTTCTTTATCCATTTTTCCAATAAGAAAGTTTAATAACAATAAATGATGGACACTTTCACTGACAACCTTTTGACAGATTAAATAAAGTTTACTGGTTGGGAGTACCAACATAACAAACCAAAATTCCCACATATTTATTTTAAATTTTAATTGGGAAATATTGATTATTTTTACAATTTTTTCTAAACAAACAATAATATTTATAAAATACCATTGTACTGTGTTATAAATTTACAATTTACTTAAAATTTAAAATAATAATATTCTTCTTTATGTTGGTCTTCCGATTTCGCATAATGAGATCTTGAATGAAATGTCAAAAGTATTTTTAATTGGTAATAAATCAATCGTAATTAATTATACAAAATGCATACAAATCAAGGTAAATTTATTGTAATTTGTATTTACTGAATTTGTATCTATGATATTTTCTTCAAAATAATTATTTAGAAATATAAGGTTCATTCCGACCAGCAGTAATTTCCAGTAATATTACTGATACACATGCGCGTTTGTAAAATGTCGTTCCAACCAACTAAAATTACTAGTTTAGAACTGGCAATTACTGTCAGTTCGTCGTTCCAACCAGAGTTACGAACAGTAAAATTACGGTTCAAACGATTCTTGCTCGAGAGCAAGAACTGCTGATAATAAAATTAGACGCATGCGTAGAAGGGGCACATAACCTCATCTTTTTGTTTATTTATTAACGTTTGTAATATTGTAAGTTTGTTTTCTGTTAAAGTGGACATATTATTTAAAAATGACTGCTATACAAGGTGATTTTATTAATTTTTAATGTTAATACATCTAATTTTTGTCATTTGTGAGCAGGAATGGAAGAATTTATTATCAATGTGTGATGTTACTAAAATATACTTTTATATATATTTATAAACTCAACAAACCTGGGTTATATTTATTTCTAGTAGCAATGTCCCCAATAAAATCTAAATACTCGTCATCCGAAGAATAAACAAGTAATTATTTAAAAAACCTGCCATACTTTATTGAAATAGATATACCTATATGCGCTTTACTTAGCTTTTAGCACAATACAATTGTGGGTTTTAGGTTATATTCTTTTTCTTCTGATTGTGAGTACTACTAGTTCAAAAAAGGTTCCAACCAGTTTATACATTATTCAAAATAATTTTACTATTTTTGTTCGCGCAGTCGCATTAACGCTGTTACGGACGATAATATTACGGTAATATTACTGCTGGTTGGAATGAACCTATAATGAATTATTGTCAGGGCAGTACTTTGCTCAAACCGTATGGTTTCAAAATTTATAATTACCATTTTTAAATTACAGTATTTGGATATTCACCATTATAGTTAAGCAAGGAAAACATTTTTTAATACTTAAAATTGGATATGTATGGGTAGTTCATGATCAATTATAGTGATATTTATAATCATTAAGATCCGTCCCTGTAATATTCGCTGTAATAATTATTTCAAAACTAATGTTTTATTATTGAAAAGCATGTTTAAAACAAAATCCGGTAATTACGTAATGTAATGTAAAAAAAGAAAGTTGGTGGGCTTCCTTAGCAGAAAATGTCGCAAAAAGTGCTTATAATCGGAATATGTGGTGTAACGTGCGGCGGAAAAACAACAATTGCTAACAAGTTAAACAATATTTTACCTTCAAGTAAAATATTGTGTCAGGATGATTATTTTCTTGATGTGAGTGATCCAAGACACAAATGGATTGAATCTTTGGACCACATTAACTTCGATATTCTCACAAGTTTGGATATGGAAAAAATGCATTCTGATATTTTAAAATTTATTGGAAACAAAACTATTATAACACCTGGGGAAAAAAATCATCAAAAAAATTTTAAATTATCTTTAGATAATAATCTCAACAAAGCTGTCATTGAAAAAATTTGCAATGATAATATTGAAGTTTTAATCATTGAAGGATTTTGTGTATTTAATTATAAGCCGATGAGGGATTTGTTTAGTTTGAAATATTATTTTACACTTTCCAAAGAGGAGTGCTTCAAAAGGAGAACCTTGAGGGTGTATGATCCACCAGATTGTCCAGGATATTTTGAAATTTGTGCATGGCCTGAACATTTATCACAATTGGAAGAAGTAAAAAAAGAATTTAATATTACGTACTTTGATGAGCACACAAATAATATACTTGAACTGATTTTACAGGAAATATTAAATCAATTTTAGTACAATTTTGTTAATTAATTTTTGTTTGTTTTGTTATCAATTTTGTTTTTAGTTTTTTATATGTATAAATTAAATTAACAGTAGATTGTTTTATAATTATAAATTCACAAACAAAAAACTATCACTTAAGTGATAGTTTTCTATTTGTGAAATACCTATAGGTATATAGGTATAGATAGATCTTGATTTACGAGGGTAGCATTACGCAGTAAACACGCTTTTTTGGTAGTCTTAAGGGAAAAACATGAATTAATAAAATATAAATCACCAAGTCAAATTAATCAAATCAAATCCAAATTGGCTTTTTTTAAATTAAATGTAATAAAATGACAAAATAAATTTTGTTTTTGCAAGTTGGTACCTATCACTATTTATGCATAACTTTTTAATGCCAAATAGCACTTCAATAAGCTAAATGCCATCAAATCTGAAGAAGAATGAAGAACTTTTTAATAACCTTTTCCTGAAATATACTTCTTTATCTACTCCTACTGTATAATATTGGGATTTTTTCGTGAATAATGATAAACATAAATTTCCTGCATAGCAACGGAAATAATGAACTCATTATTGACTTTGTCAGGCATCAGTGATTGGCTGATTTCAATATTTAATGTGATTTAAACCAATCGGGTTTTAAATTGGGAAGAGGCGACTATAATAACATTTAAAATTGGTAAAAAGTAAGGTTAACCATTTAACAGAATCTGATGTCAAATTTTATTTATTTTTGAAAATCAATTATCTACTTATTGGAGTATAGTATCACACTCGAGATTACGCGCACTATTTCTGGTATTATAATATCGTTGAGTGAAGAAGTAAATAGTTTAGTATACTATTATTTCTGCCCAAACCTCCTTAACAAGAAAAACTATGCTATTCTTCTTAATAAGTGTTGCTAACCATACAACAAGTACTAGTTATTTACGATTTGATCTTAATAAATTATGCTCTTTTCCATTAATACTACAAAAATAAGTTTTAGCTGTCAGAAAAAAATTTCAATCATGGACACCCTGTAATTAAACTCCAATGCCAGTTTGATATTTATTGTAATATAAATAATTTCTCAATACATTAAAAAAAATTCCATAACACATTTAATAATATTAACTAATAAATACATACAAATAATTTTGGGAAATAAAAAATTTTGACAATTTTGAATGTGTCGTTTTATTTTGAAAAGGAAAGTATTTTTTATTATAATACATGTAATTTAGAATATTTGATTTATTTTTACCTAATTTGCCAAAATATACATGGCTTAAATTTCACATCAAAATATACTAAATAAAATTTTTACATTGCATAAGTACTTTTACTGGGCTGTTCTTCATCTTGAATTCCTGATGATTTTTTTACATACTGAGGATTAACTTGAATTTCTTCATCCATGGACAAAATTTGCTTATCTAATTCCATGCAAAGTGTTAATTGTTCCTCTAACCCTTTTAGTACTTCAGGACCACCAAATTTATCTGGTTCATCTCTAAACACCACCATACCATCTTTTTGGTTAATAGTTGCAAAGATTTGTCGGTTTTCAATCTAAAAAAAATTATTTAATTTTGTATTGGTTTAAATATATTAACAAGGATTATTTTGGGACTCACCATACTTAGTATGTGTCTTTCTGCATCTGAAGGGCTTGGTAAACCTACTCGACTTGCAACATCAGATAAACTTAATGTTAAAAATGTCTTTGTCAGTCTTTGAATGTTCTTTTTGTATAGTACTGAAGAAACTTGTTTTACTAAACCCAAATTGTGATCTCTTGTAAATACCTATCAAAATATTTATTATTATACAGGTCTAATGTCATACTACATGATAGAGTAAATCATTTTTGTTTTAAAATAATAGTTTTTGAATTATTAAGCATTTAAGTTTAAAAAGCTTTAAACACATTTTGTTAAGGAAAACTGATAAAAACAATTAATTCAAAAACTTTTTTACAATTATGTATTAGAGTAGTATATTGTGTGCTTACCTCGGTATTTTTACTAAGTACGTTGTTTAATTCGGTAGTGTTATTCATAGTGAAAGCATTGGCTAAATCATGGTAGGGTTGAGATAAAGGTTTCATAAACCTTGTCACAACCTGAGAAGCATATTTAGGTACAGGTTGAACCTTAAAAAATAACTATAAATATTCAATTAACATTTTACAAACTAAGTCACCTTTCCATTTAGTAATAACGAGACAAGAATATACTTTTTGTAAGCTTCTAGCATAATATGTGACACAGCATGAGCTGGTGTGGTAATGGCTACTTCAAAAAAGTATAGAGCCCTATCTAAATTCCTTACAGCTAAGTAAATCATACCCCCATAGTAATAATACAATAGAAAATATTTTGCATCAAATTGAGGACCATTTGGACTATGTGCAATCTAAAATATAAATTGAAAAACATTCAAAATAACTAGTTCAGTCAAAGGTGTGTACTGGGTCCCTACAAAATACTCCACTTAGCTTTTCTGCCTTAAATATCCTTGCTACATCAAAAATGGTTATTAATATTATTTATAAACGTATGTTAAAACTTCATCTTATCAATATTTAAACTTATACAGCAGATAAATTTAGCACTTTTTGCTAAGCTACCTTTAAACAGGCTTTTCATAAAAAAAACTAAAATGTCTTTATATGGAAAAATTATCAAAGATTATTGCAGTTTAGTGTAAAAAAGTCCAGTTTAATGTTTATATTTTTAAATATTATTTTAAATGGTTGGGTTAACTTACTCCACCAATTTTTTTAAGGATTGTTATGCTAAAATAACAAAAATGCAAACTTTAGACATGAATAAATCCTTAAAATATGGATTTGCCAAAACATGTTTTAAAAAAGTGAAAAACGTTTGAACTTACCAGCTAGCTGGACATTCTGTTGGCACCCACTACACATCTTTAATTTAATGTAATTTTAAGAGTTTTATGTAACCTTTTAACAGATTTATTATATTATACCTCTTGACATACTCCTGTAATATCTATATCTAGTACTTCTAAAGCTGGCTTAAAGCATTTGGCCAGCAAACATAATTGACATAAATCAGCATGGATTGAGGTTAATTGAGAATCATACAATCTTAACTTGGATATTGCTTTCTGAAGAAGAACAATCCCCCTTACAGGTTGTTTTAACTCTACCAAATAATTGGTGAATAGATGACATAATTCTGAAACTATAATTGAACATAAAATATAATGTTAAAAACATGTTTGCTGTATTACATGAATCTGGCGCAAATCTTATTTGTTCCCCATTGCACCCCACAATAAACTCTTGGACTTGTGTGTAGCGGTTGTCTGGTGTAGATCCTCCACCAGCTGCATTGAATTTAGCACACAACACGGCCAATATTCCTAGAGAATGCTGTTGCACATTAAGAGTCTCTAACACGTTATCCAAGTGTTGCGTATTTTTTAACAGTACTTCGTTGGATTTGTTTAAAAACTCACAAAGTTCCCTAAAGTTTCCTAAAAACACATAACCTCTAAAATTTGACAAAGAATTTAATTGTCTCACCATGAGTGGAAAGATGCCTAACGTTGTTCACAAATTGCTCTAAAGCAGATGCCATTTCATTAGGAAGTGCGTAAATTAATCTTTTAAACAACAATATAAACAAAGATATAAATAAACTTTTTTACAGAGCCGGTCTCTGTCTAAAATTAAGTTTTTTATGTTGGCAACCCATAGTCTATGGGCCATAGATAACCAACCAAAGAACACCAACCTTATTTTTCCTTAAAGAATATGTCTATGTTGGCAACAATGCTAATAGTGGGAACTTCTAAATTTAATTCATAGATGGCAATGGTATCGAATGTCTCTTTTGTAAATAAACAAGTGATGATTTTGAATAAATTGTGGTATTGTAATTTCTTTATTGCCAACTTATTGGTAATGTAATTTTTGGTAAGTGAATAATTATAGTTTAATAATGGAAGATAAATAATAGAGATTGTCCAATACTGGTATTTCTGGTTAGGGGCTGTCCATAAATGATGTCACACGTTTTTTTAATATTATGGACTGTATTTCAAGGTTTTGCTTGTTATTCGAATAACATAAGATCTTATTTGAGGAATGGTTTTTTGTACTACTAAAATTTTAAAATAAATAAACTGATGTACCTATACATCACACCCAAAAGTCCCACTTTGATATTCAAATACAAATAATTGAGGTTATCTATCTGTCAGTTTAACGCTAATTTCGTCTTATTTTCTTTAAATAATGCAATAGGTAAATATATATATGCATAAATTTAATTTTTGTGGTCTAAATTAAGACCTTTATACAAAAAATACATCTATTATATTATTTTCGAAAAGACAAAATTACCGTTAAACTGACAAATAAATATCCTCAATTGTTTGTATTCAGATGTCAAGGTGGGTCTTTTGGGTGTGGAGCATGCATGCATGTACAATGCATTGTACCCACATATTTAGATATGTGATTGTACCTATTATTTATATTGACATTTTAACCAAATAATGCTTTCAATCTATAACTATATATAGATATTAAAATTGTTTAAAACTGGTCAAAATTTGTCTTAGCCAGCTTAGAAGGCCTTCTTGACTTGTAAATAAAAACTCGTTTATTTTTACAAATTTATTTAAAAATTAAATTATAAAGTCTTAATACAAAATTAAGTACAAAAATTAAATTCAGAAGTAAATACTGTACATTATTTACATATAAATTAGGTAGGTAAATAGGTACTGTACAATACTGTAAAAATAATAATGTACAATTATTGTATATAATATTATACTGTAGGTACAATAATTATTAGCATATAAATAATGTGCAGTATTAAATTAATACTTTTTTTATATACTGTATATTATACCTATGATTAAAATTAAAGTATTGTACAGTAGGTATTTACTTTCGCCTTAAGGATAAAGCACAAGAAAATTAACCGAAATTTTCGAAGTGATGTATAAAATACGGCAGTTTTCTTCCTTTATTCACTTCATCACAAGCTGACATTACACTTTTTGTTAGTGGCCTAGGACCGCAGCTAAACACTCCAATTTTGCTGACCTAAAACATATTTATTGGTTAGACGGTTTTTTAGGATGTTTGCATATACTTACGTAGCTATGGCGTTTTTGGACGAATTTCAAGAAGGAAGTCATATCTGGTCTTCCAAAATGATTAACAGCCTTTAATCCTGTAAATATAGATGTTTTTGCTAGTCTCTGGAAGTGATTTTCACAGATGTACTACAAAATAGTTAGGGTCAAAAGTAGAATTTTTTTTTAAATGATGTACCTAAACATACCAACATTGTTGTTCTCAAATCGAATTTATGGAAAAATTGTGTAATAAAAATATGTATTTCCAAAACATTTGTCACATCCTTTTTCTCTACATCTCTTAAAACATCTATGAACCATTCAAAATGTTTATGCGACGGGCAAATCCAAAGGAAGTACACTTTCTTGCAAGCAACTCCAGAATAACGATTCGTAGAAGTCCCGAACACGAGATCGTTCAATATCGACGCATAGGGCGTAACACCGATCCCACCCCCAACCATCACAGCCACCTCAAACTTGTACCAATCCTGATTGCCGCCTCCAAACGGCCCCTCGATCAAAATTTTCGGTTGATCTTCGACGTTAAAGTTGCAAGGATCGAAGTAGTTCCTTAGATTCCAAGTCCAGGGACCCTGCGCCTTGATGTGACATGACAAGAAATTTTCGTGGGGTGCCGAAGTCAAGGTAAAAGAGTGGAACTCGTGGACCTTGAAGGCGTTACAAGCCAACCTCACCCATTGACCTGACAGGTATTTCAAGTTGGGTGGGCGGTAGAATTTGATTTTGATCACGTCAGAGGGCAGCAAATCGGCCTCAATGACATCCAGGGGGATGTATTTTGTTCTTAGGCTAACAACCTTGTCCAGTGCAAAAATGATTCCAGGACCAATAAAGAACATCCAAAATCTAGGAGCACCAGTAAGTCTTGCCAATCCGTGTATTAGACAAAGTGCGTACAGAAGCACATACAAACTATGAGTGAACCAGAAGAATTTATACGCTTTCTTTCTAATAGTTGGATGCGCGAATACAATGATTATACACATGATTATGAATAGCAAGACACCGGTGATGCCTGTTATTGTTTGGAAGAGCCAGAATGAAATTCCGGGCTTATAATCCGAAGGAAACCTGACCTCATTGGTCAGACACTTTAAATTTTCCACGGGTTGAGTGGATACATGATAAAAATTAACTATGTGACCTACAGTATGCAAAACAGAAAAGAATAAGGCAGTACATGCAGCTATTTTATGAAACTGAATATGAGTGTCCAGGGGAATGTATTGGTGAATGGAGAACTCCTTTAACTTTGTAATTAAGTTTCTAGACATTGTTAGGAGCAAAATGCTGTAACAGAATGATAGGGAGGCAGCTGAACCTCTGGTTATTGCGATTCCTACTCCCATTATGTGCCTTAGGTCGGTATGTTCAGCCATAAAGGAGTAATCTGAAAGGTGGAATTGTATATGTTTGTTTTACCCAATTAAATAAGGATTACTTACGTATAAATCTTTCCACAAATAGAGCTATGGTTGTTACATAAAATACAAATAAATAGAATATATTTTGTCGGTTTTCTTCTAAGAATGTTGTTAAACTATCCCATTTGAGTCTTAGAAAATTCTTCTCCACATCCATAGTTGGTTCAATGTGGAAACTGGTCATTCTAAAAACATACACAGAAACGATTATATTAGTTAACTTTGTTTTTAAGAAAATTTACCTCGCAACATTCGTTGATGTATCTAAAAAGTTTTGTTTAGCTCCCTTACAATCCAAACCAATTGCTACAAAGTCTCCTTTGTATTCCTTCATCATCAATTTAAAGTCTGAGTAGGTCAGAAATTCTTTGTGCTCTAAACCAGCATCCTAAATATGAAAGATGTAAAATATTATTTATTATTAAATTTATAAAACTATTTACAAAATTTAAAATTGAAAATGAAAACATAAAAATTCTTACCTGAAACATTCCATCAATAAGCTCAGTAACATGATCATCAGATAAACTAGTGGTCCTAGCTATTTCCACCAGAGATCTTAACATTTCGGAAAATTCCTCCTTATCTATCACTCCATTTCCATCATTATCGCACATATCAAAAATTATCCTGAGTTTATCCTCCGTTTTCCCCCTGGAGAATAACACAACAGTGTCCAAAAACTCCTGAAAAGATATCCGACCATCTCCGTCTTTATCGACAATATTAAACATCTTCGTCACAAAAACAGCATCTGGTTTCATACCAAGAGCATTCGCAAATTCACTTTTCGTCAAAGATGTTCTCATTACTGTAACCACTTCGCCATCTGCGGAGCTATCGGATCTTCTTCTGCGTTCGCCCGGTCTTAACCCAAAGGTCAAAGCATAAGCTTCTCTGAAAAAATGCTCCAACTTTCTTTCGCGACGTTGTCTGGTCTCTGCTTTAGCCAGCATCAACTCCCTCGCCATTTGGTTGCAAATCAGGTTTTTTTTGTGCGAAGTCAAGAATAACTCAAGTTTGTTCAAAAACTTCTTCTTGGCCCCTACTGATTCTAACTCGAGTACCAAATCGTGATCCCTAGGTACGTGTATGAGCACCATGGGTTTTTTCTTTGATGTAACCTCCAAAGATTCCTCAACATCAACGCTATTTGAGCTCTTGAAGTTTAAAGTCCTTAGTTTTTCCCCTTTACGTCCCATTATGTTAATAGCTGCATCAGGACCAAATTTTATCTTAACCAGTCTTTTGTGGTTTGCGTGGAGCCACTCGTGCACTATCATCGTATCTATCGGTAGTTTTCCTTCCTTATTTCGCAATTCTTCCTGTTTCATTTTCAGTCTTCTTCTACGTCGGTTTTGGAGTTTTACCACACCGTACCCTGCGCCTGCGCACAATATTGGCACGAAACTCAAGAATATACAAGAGTAGATGTAAACCAACTCATTGCCTTCGAAATAATCATACCCGCTTAAAATTTTGCAAGGTTCCATTAAGGAAGTGTTTAGCTGCATTGGTTGTGGGCATGGATCTCCCTCCATCCAGAAAAATACGTTTTTCTGAATGGCTGTTGGTTTTATGTTTGTACTGTTTACCATAACGTCCCAAAGAGTTATTTTTTTGATTTCCTCTATTTCTTGTTTAGTGAATAATCTACAAAAATATATAATAGTATATTATTATACTATAATACTATACTTTATTTACTTCAATAAGTAGATGATTTTCAAAAATAAATAAAGTTAATTTTTTTTATCTGGACTGCGAAAACGTTGCAAATTTAGGGTTTTGGTTTGTAAATACAGTTGTCAAGTTAGTCGCATTGATTAAAACAAGCTAAGCTAGTTATAAATCTAATTGTGGTTATGTATAAATTATTGTAGGTTACATTGTTGAGTTGTCGAAATTCGTAGTTTGGCTTTGGTGGTGGTTGGATGAGTAAAATCATATAAAAAAGCAGGGAGTAGTATTTAAACTCATTTTTAGTTTCGATCCCTGAGCGAGTTAAATTCAGTCAAACCAGTTCGAATCAATCGGTGATGCGAGATTTAATCTGAGCGATATTTAAACGCCTTAAAATAATTTCGATCTGTTCACGAGTTATATTCTCCGATGTATAGAAAGTTTTGATACTTTAGTGATTAAATCATACCAGATCATATTGGGATTAAATCCCAACGAGATCGGTAAGGATTTAATCTTTTTAAGAGTTTTAACTTAAAAAATTAACAATATAAGATATTTTTTTTACTAAAAAGTTATTAATAATTACTTATTATTAATAATTAATGATTATTATTAACTTTTTAATAAAACATTTTTATAGATTTTTCGATATTTTTATATTGTTAATTAATAAACATGGCAAGATGGGTATCTATAAAAAGGTCTTAAAATTTTCAATTTAAAAAATATATAATAATGACCCCCTGCCTGTCCCCTTATTTAAAAAAAAATTATATTGCAAAATTAATCTGACAACATTGGTAATTACAAAAATGTCTTAATAATAACAATTTAAAAAATATTAATTACCTCCCCCCTTCCTCCCCCTAATTTTTAAAATTTTTATTTTGCAAAATTAACATTTCAAGATGGGTATCTATAAAAAGGTGTTGATAATTGCAATTAAAAAATTATATTATTTACCCCCTCCCTACCCCCCCGTTTATTAGGTTTCTGTATTTAAAAATTAATAGGTCAAGATAGGTACCTATAAAAAGGTCTTGATAATTGCAATTAAAAAAAATATATTAATTACCCCCTCCCTTCCCCTAATTTTAATAAATTTTATATTTAAAAATTAACATTTCAAGATGGGTATAATTTTTTTAATTGCAATTATCAACACCTTTTTATAGATACGTATCTATAAAAAGGTGTTGATAATTGCAATTAAAAAAATTATATTATTTACCCCCTCCCTACCCCCCAGTTTATTAAGTTTCTATATTTTTAAATTATCATGGCAAGATGGGTATCTATAAAAAGGTGTTGATAATTGCAATTAAAAAAATATTTTATTTTTAAATTTATAAATTGTAATTTTTAAGACCTCTTTATAGATACCCATCAGGCCATGTTAACTTTGCAATATAAAAATATAATAAATTAGGGGGCAGAAGGGGGGTAGTTAATATAATTTTTTTAATTGTAATTTTTAACACCATTTTATAGATACCGATCTTGCCACGTCAATTCTTCAGAAAAAAAGTTTAATAAATAAGGGGGGAAGGAGCAACAACTCGTTGACGACAGTTTGTCTTAGCGGGTCTTTGGATGATTTGTAAAGATATTTTTTAAGTATAAACTGGTGTAGTTTGTTCCTAAAGGAATGTACTAAGACATGTAAAAACTATTTTGGTATTATCCACACCTAAACCGTATAAAACATTCAATGTACATGCACGTGAACATCCTGAAATTATCCTGAAATTTTACAATTAAGATTTTTTAGCATCAAATATGTATTATTTAGGTCCTAACTCAATAGATTTAAGAGCCATTTATTTTTTTTATAATTTTTTAAATTGTAATTATTAAGACCTTTTTATAGATACCCATCATGCTATGTTAACTTTGCAATATAAAAATGTAATAAATTAGGGGACAGAAGGGGGGTAATTAATATATTTTTTTAAATTGTAATTTTTAACACCATTTTATAGATACCCATCTTGCCTCGTTAATTCTTCAGAAAAAAAGTTTAATAAATTGTCGGGGAATATAATTTTTTAAATTGTAATTATTAAGACCTTTAATAAATATGGTGCCAATTATTTTGTTTTTAAATTGTTAATATTAAATCATTTGAATGATACCCATCTACTTATGTTATTTTTGTAATGATTATTACCATAATATTAATATAGTTTAATCATAGAGAAATGTAATGTATAATGTAACATTATTAATGTTATTATAAATACCACTTTTTTATAAAATTTGCTAAATAAATATATACCATATATCTATCAATAAAATAATTTTAAAAATTAACAATAATATTAAGGTATTTTTATAAAATTATAAAATTAATTTAATATAATTGTACAATTTATTATTTTAATAGGACTAAAAATTTATATTTATTTAATAAATATAAATTTTTAGCCCTATTAAATAACCAGTATTAATAAATTACCAGTATTTAATTAATTATCTCATTTGATAATTTTACTCTAATTTAATCACTAAGTTCCGAAAAGGATTAAATCTTAAATGAGCAATAATATAAATACTCTAAAGTAGCTAAACTATGGTTATCATTTAGAATATAAATCTTTTAGGTATTTAATCTTTAAAAGAGTAGAAGTGTTTTAATACTTTTGGGATTGAATCCTTAATGTATCGAATCACTACGAGAGCGGTATAATTTAACTCATCTGGAGAGTAATACTTCGCAGACCGAAATAGTTTTCGATCGCGAGTGAGTTGAGAGCTATTCAAAATCAGTGATTTAATCCTAGTCCCTGAAAAAAAGTAGTTAAAAATAGTTTGCTTTACGGCCCAGGAGAGAAAGTATTCCTAGCGGATAATAATCTTCGCTTTGAAAAGAAATTAAAATTTTTTGTGAACGTAAATATTGTCCAATGATGTATAATGTGAAAATAATGTGTGACGTAATATTTATAAAACCAAATTCTTTACTTTTTTACTCCAAAAATGTCCATAAGGCGATGTACTTTTTCTTCCATTGTGGCATTTGGCATAATTTCATCAAACATTTCGAATTCGTTGCTATTATTTTTGGCATAATTCTGTGGGTAAAAGGCATAAGGGGATAAGTCAAAAAAAGCAAATTTTCGGTAGAGACTTAAACGTGTTCGAATTAATTCAGAAAATATATTTATGGTTAGCGAGTATACCCTTTTGCTAGCATATGACATGTGCTGGCAAAAGGATATACCCGCTAACCATAAATGTATTTCCTAAATTAATGCGAACACGTTTAAGGCACTACTAAAAAATTGATTGTTTTGACTTATCCCCTTATGCCTTTTACCCACAGAATTATCTTTTTATTTATAATTGACAAGTAAATTATCAATAATAAATAGTATTGTCAATTTGACAGTGTCAAAGTATTTAATTAAATTCTTTAGCAGAAGTACCATTTTTAAAAACTAAAAATACTGACATAAGCCACCAACCTAACAAAAAAACACGAGTCCAGATAAAAAAATTAACTGTAAATAAAACTGACATCTGTCAAATGGTTAACCTCACTTTTAACAAATTTTAAATGTTAATAGTCGCTTTTTCCAAACTTAAAACCCGATTGGTTCAAATCACAGTAAATATTGAAATCGCCCAATCACTGATGCCTAACAACGTGAATAATGAATATTCCAGTTGTTTGGCAGGGAATTAATTATGTTTATTATTATTTACGAAAAAAAAAACAATATTATGCAATATGAGTAGATAAGGTCATTTAAATAACACTGTTTTTAAAATGTTAGGATATAGAATCCTATTAGGTATTATATCAATATATAAATAAATTACCTCTTTAAATGAGAAGTAAAAGAGTAAAAAAAACTAGTGTAAAAAGTTTATTCTTACCCACTATTCTCATTTTCAAACCAGAACCTATCAGCATCCCTCAGTCTCATAAACTGATCCTTTATAACTGTAGTAAATAATTTACCAGGACCACCATAACTCTCCAACATTCCTCCAACATATACATCTATATCATCGAAATTATTGTCGTACGCACTCACTAGCATTCTTAACAATTCTGGTTTATCCTCAAAAAGTTTTGGATTGATGTCCGTCCAGTTTTTTATTTTTGGCAGTTTATAATACGATCTGACTGTATTGTAGTCCGGAAGACCACTGTCTCTACCTCTCATAATATTGAGAGCACCAAGATCTCGCCTTGAAAACTCCATGGGGCCAAATAGTTTGTCTCTTATATCGGAACATAGGACTGAATCTTCTTTTTCTGCTAATTGTGAAGTCATTCCCATTAGTAGTTCTTCCAATGAGTTTGTGCTTAGAACATCCTAAAAAGCAAAACATCTAAGTGTTGTAATATGTTATTATTGTGGTATTTTTTACATTTGAATCCCACCAAGTTGAACACAATCTTAAAGCCAAATATCCCATTGATGTTTTTTTGTAGTTACATTTTGAATCTCTCCTATATAATCCTGGAGGGATTAACGAATGACCAAACCTAAAGGCAGCGCTTTGGAAAACGTGGGATATTCCTGGATGAATATCCGCGTTATATCCTTCGTATTTGGGAAGATGCTCCCCAAGAAACGCCGGTAAATATTCATATAAAATAATATTCTAAAATAAATAAAGTTTACATTTTGCTTTTATTACGCTATAATAACTGTATACTTGCAAAGTTGCCACTACAATTCTTCTTGCTTTTTGAAAAACTTCCTCGTCAGTCCAAGTGGGATTAAACTTTTGAATTCTTGTAGCCACCACGTTGTGCCAACGAAAAAACAAGATGCTAATGGTCAATAGGGCGGGATTTTGGTTGGTTCTCGGATCTCCCAACACTGCAAAAAGAAATTATGAAGCATTCTCAAGGTAAGTGGGTATTTACTTACAGAACAATTTTTCTGTGCTGAGCATTTTCATCATGTGCGGCACTGGGTTGTTGAATAGAGGCACTCGCATGGAGTTTCGTACAGGCATTGTCCCAGTTGGATCGGTTAAAAGGGTGCCGTTTTCGAATGATCGCATGTTACTTATCCATGGTTCGCTGGTACTGTATATAAAACTGCCATCTATCCAACTTGTAACTTGATTTAACTAAAACCAAAAATTATAATTAAACTTTTGGAATTATTAAGCAAAACTATTGCTCATGTTTATATTATTTTCTAAATTGTTTTCAGTCAGACTATATTTTTCGTAAGGTTTTTGACATAATTTTTGATGTAATTATATCACATAGTAGGTAGTAGCATTTGCACAAAACACGTTAAAATATTTCGTGGTATAACAAAACGCGTTTTTTCTACTTTTCCAAAAAACTGACGTTATTGCTGCAATTTTGGTCGGATTTGGATTCTTTGGATCAAGAACCTTCGCAAGGGTATAATTAACTAAATTGATTTTTTTTGCAAAATAGTACATTATCGAGCAGGCGGAGAAAGCGCTTATTTAAAGCCGAGCTCAGTGTTCGCTGCCAAGGCCTTAGCCGAGACTGCAGATCTGGGCAGTGGGGGGGGGGGGCAATGGGGCGGGGTCGGTAGTGTTGTGTTGTTGAGTTTGGGTTGGTTTGGGTTGGTTTCGCACATTTTTGCGGTATTTTATCAACATCTATTTTATTTACAAATTTTGCATTTTTTTTTGCATTTTTGGCCATTTTGTTGTTTTTTGCTCATTTTGTTCATTTTTGCTGATTTTGTTGATTTTTGCTCATTTCGGGGATTTTTGTTGGGTTTTTCTTATTTATTTTATCAAAATCATTTTTTTTTACAATTTTTTGGGTTTTGATTTTTTTCCTTTTTTAGGCGTTTCAGTACATTTCCTGAGGGGGTTAGGTTGCGATTTTTTTTTCGATTTTTTTTTGAAGTTTTTTTGCATTTTTTTGCTCACGTGGTACGTGCCGTTTTTTCAAATTTTGTACCGTTTAGGAGTTCGGTTATCCTGACATATTTGGATAATTTTATTGCAGGAATAATTGAACTTTCTCCGCCGTGTTGTATATACTATTTTTTTCAAGCATTTAATAAATATGTTCTTGAATTATCGAGTTTGCGACATTTTGTCAGGTTTGACATTTGTTATATTCAGTGGCGGCTGGTGGATTTTGCGTATACCGATATCTTGGTTATTAGAAGTGGGACCCACACCAAATTTATATGAGTTTTTAATGACACTAAATTAGGTTCTGTGCAAGCAGAATTTAAATAGAAGTGTACAAAAAAAATAGTTTTTGCTGCTGCTCCCCTGCAGCCTAGCCCCCCTAATAAAGATAATACAAATTTTAGTTTATTGACAAATTTCAAAATTTATTTAAAAAATTCAAATATTACAGAGTTTATACCATTTTAAATTTGTATTACTTTTCCTAAAATAATAAAAAATAAAATAAAATCTGTAATACTTTGATTTTTTAAATAAAATTTGAAGTTTGTCAATAAACTATGGTAAATTATAAATTGCAACACTAAAATTTGTATTATCTTTATTAGGTGGGCCAGGCTGCAGGGGAACTGCAGCAAAAAATATCTTTTTTTCGCAATATTTAAATTCTGCTTGCGTAGAACTTGTTAATTTAGTGTCATTATAAACTCATATAAATTTGGTGTGTGTCCCATGTCAAATAACTGAGATATGGCATTTGCAAAATCCACCAGCCGCCACTGGTTATGTTCATGAATTTATTCTACAGTGACCTGTAAGTTTACATTTTATTTTGCTGATTTCGAGCTAAACGCAATGGATGGAACCACTCTGCCTATGTAATTTCAATGTGTTTTCATTATTGTACGGCGGTGTATAATAATTTGATTTTTGAAATGCGTACAAATAATAATAATTTTATGATTATGAATATTCATTATTTAAATAAATCCTGTTCTGCAAAACCGTGTATATTTATTAAAATCATTTTAGCGTTTCTTTACATAGAATTTTTAACTATGTTAGCAGCCCTGACATCAAGATAAAAATTCCTAATTATTAAATTAATTAACCGCGAAAAGAAATATACACAAACAAGGTGTTATACTGCACAATTAAAAACAATTTCAGAAAATTCTTTGAGATTTAATTAGATTCGTTAGTAAAAACCTTAACTTAATTATTATAATTTATACGGTATTAATGAAATTTATTATTTTATTTTATTTTTTAGTGTACAAGTGGTAAATTGGTACATGAAACTTTTTGAATTTTAAATTACTTTATAATTAATGAAAAATTTTTAGCCCACATATTTTAATTGGTTAACAAATAAATTATATTTATACTAATTTAAATAAGTCCATGATATTTGGGAGCAGTAATTTCTTACTTGTTCTCTGGGCGCATTGGGACTTTGTCCGGTCTTTCTGTCGTAACTGGCCCTGTGAAATGGTATGTACTTGTCTCCTTTGCACTCCTTGTCGTACATTTCGTCGCATTTTTCGATTTCGATGTGATGCATTTCGATGGGACATCCGCTCTCGCTGGCCATCACAACTTCGGAGGTGACTAGTTGGCCGAAAAAAGCCAGCAGCGCTGTGCGATTGCTCATCGAACCCATGCCGTCTTGACCCTGAGAAATTATGTTTTGTTTAATGTTTCGGACTTTGAGATTGATCAATGGTCATGCTCTATAACTCACTTTAAGTCTTTTAGTTTGAAATTTTTGTTTACCTTCATAAAAAGTCTGCTTAAGGTTCTTGGACTAGGTCTGTTTTGGCCTGACAACATATAAACTCCATCAGAGTAGGCTGAAGGGGCCTTTCTTATCAAATGACTGTCTGAAAATAAAAAAACATTTTTTTAATAACATAAATTTGGCGTTTTTACTAAAAAACGAAAACTTTGTTTAGATAATAACTTTTAAGAAAAATATCCTTTTAATGATAATATTAAATAAAAACTTAAAAATATAGGCAAAATTATGCAGACATTAATCAAATGGGATTTTTCATTTTAATTGTGATTATAAATAATTAAAATAAACCATCTATAATTAATTTTTTTTTAATTCTTAAAATAATATGGGTTTGTAAATGTTTGATACATTTTATTAAACATAAAATACTACAAATATGTAGCACTGGTCGGTAACAACTTTTCTAGGGTAATTTGGGTGCGCTGGTTTCAAAAATGACCATTTTGCTCAATTAGCTCTTGTTTTCAAGATATTGCAAAAAACCGTTTTTTCGACATGCAAACATTAAAATTCGTAAATTAGGACATATTTCAAAATTCAAAGTGCTGTAACCTATCTACTTTATTATTTTTCAGATTTGATAAAACAAAATGTTGTAGATTTATCTATCTAGGTACTTTATTGTGTTAACATTTCAACGCATTCAAATAAAAATTGGCGAAATGGCACTTAAAACAACTGCGCGTTTAAAAATTTATATTTACGGCATTTTTGCTCTTGGAGCTTGTACGACTCCTTAAATAAATTCTGTGCGCAGTAGGGTGTCCGTTATTTACCAACTTGTTTTTTTTGTTCGCAGCGCCCCCTAAACTTTTAGTTTAGGACCTAAAAAAAATTATTAAAAAAAAAATATAAAAAAAATATTCATATTAAACCATGCCACAAAGACGATACATTTTCCATTTAAATAACATGGGGTTTCGGCAAGTTTTACATTTAATTTGTTTTCTCCCGAGAAAGTTAATATACAGCAATAAAAGACATATTTTTATAGGAAATTGAACGCTGCGCGCTGTACAAAAAATCTTTCCAATGATTTTTTCATAAATTCACTGATTTAAAAGTTATTTAAGGTTAAAATTAAACTTATAGTAATTTTTTCGATTTTTTTACTTTGGCTGCAAAATTATTATTATTTTTATTAAAATGAATTGTTTATTTTTGAAAATATGTGATTTTAGTGTATTATTGAAAAAATAAAAATTATTGATAAGTGATAAGTAAAAATTATTGACAAGAGATTACGATAAATTCAATTTTTTTTTATTACATTAAATGAATCTGGTACTACTTTTACACAATTTTAGTACAATTACTTTTTTACATAATCTTTTTATTTCTGTGAAATTCTACAAAATTTTATACGATTTTATAATATATTATACCTACAATAAAAAGTTTTCCTTCAGTACAGCTAATGACGTAGAAATTCTTTTAAAAATTATTTTAACGACAAAATAAAATTCGTAGTTACGCACGCGTTGTCTTGAGTATAAAGCCCTCTGCACAACAGCCCGGTATCGTGAACGGGAACGGGAACATAACGGAAAAGGTGGGAGAGACCCAGCGAACGGTTTTTTAGTCTCTCCCACCTTTAATGTTAAGATTTCCGTTCCTGTTACTGCGGTCATTGTGCAGCGGGCTTATGATGCAGACATTTCCGCTACACCAATTATCCTTTTCAAATATATTAAATGTATTTATCTACTTCTACATTGACGAGCTGTGACTTTATGGCGCTTTAGTCACGGGCTGAAGTTGGCAATAAGTGAGGTTAATTCCGTTGACATTTGACAGATGTCTGATTGCTGAACTTTTTTCATGGGCCACCCCAAACATTAAAATTTAAATACTTAAATTTTAATGTTTGCATGTCGATAAAAACGGATTTTCTCAATATCGCAAAAACAAAAGCTAATTAGGCAAAACGATTCTCATTCTTTCAATCATCGCACCCAAATCACCCTCGAAAAGTTTTTGGCCACAATTTTTTTTATTTTGTCGACCGGTTTAATTTCCTACGAATTAGAGCTATTATCAAGTACCCTCTTTTATCCCGGCGCATTCGCCATTTTTGAAACATTAAATTTTGCTGTGGCAAAGTTCATTCATACTTTGTCAAATAATTTTGATATCATATTTTTTATACAGGATGTCCCAGAATATGAGGGCAATCTCCCGGATTTAAATAAAACACATACAAATAATATGACAAGTTGTTATAATTTTCATAACACATAAAAATAATATGACAAGTTCTTATAATTTTTTTTCCTACGGCCCCCTCTACGGAAAATCCCCTTGAAAATCGTTTGTTTTTAAATAACTTTTGAACTACTAGGAGGAATTTAATAATTTTTGAATATATTATTTACTAAACAAGTTTCCTTAAAATGGTCACTTTTAATCACTTTCGACTTATTTAGTTTGCCATGGACGGACTAGCTAACACCCTGTACTCTAAAGGCACTGCAATAATATTTTAGCCAGCTAAAACCTTAAACTAAAAAAAAAGTTACTCTTGATCGACATCAATAAAATGTACTGTTTACGAAAAAAAATGTTTTTGTACAATAGGGTTTTTTGCATTTATTTTTATCTTTTTTGCAATTTTTTTTACATTTATCGATTTAAATAATGATGTCAGTTGAAAATAGAGTATTTTGAAAGTTTTGATCTTTTTTATTCTTTCCAGTGGCGTCCGTTATGGGCCAGTATCTCTGTAGGAGGGGCCGTAAGAAAAAAATGTATAGGAATTTGTCATAATATTTTTATGTGTTCTATCTAAATCCGGGAGATTGCCCACATATTCTGGAAAACCCTGTATAAGTGCATTCGCAATTTTAAGTTGCATAAAATATTTATTATATCAACATACAGGTCAGGGGCGTAGCTACCTCGGTATCAGCCGGTATCAGCCCCCGGCTAGGGGGGGAGATTGGATTCGAAATTAAATAAATAACTAATATTATTATTTAATTGTTTATACTTTGATTATTAAATTAAAATTTTCCTGAATACCCTCCCGTTCCAACGAGGCCGTGAACTCATACGAATTGTTTCTGCCCGCACCTTTCCGCTATGAGTTGTCTGCGGCGCAGTCTGCGCATATTGTTCTGTGCTCTGCACCGCATACTGAGTCTGCTTTGCGTGTTATTATCATAGGTTAATAGTTAATAGTAAATTAGAAATAATTATATCAAATGCCTTGCCTTTATTTTAAAATAGAAACCTTATAAAATATGTTAAAGAACTGTAAATGTGTAAAACCAGACCAAATTTTAAAATTTACCTGTACACACGGTGTGCCTGAACAACTCTCAGGTCACAAATAAATGTCAACCAAAATGGATTGTATTTTTGGAATATGCATCTATTCCTCACTCCAAAACCATATTTTTCAAAATTCTAGCTGATCCTCTTTTTTATTTTTTTGCAATTTTCTGGATTTAAAAAGAAACAAGAAACCTGAATATCGGCTTAATTAAATTAGATTTATAACATGTTTGTCATTCTATATAATTGGTAGATTTATTTTTGAGTAAGTATTGATCTATTTAATATATATTAAATAGATCAATACTCACTCAAAAATGGATATCTGTTGGGTGAATAGGATAAGATCGGAATAAAACTAGAGAATCTCTAGTTTAAATAACATTTTAATTTCTGTAGCTATTCAAAATACGGCTGCAAGAAAAAAGGTACAATAGTGCATTACCTTATTAGGTAACACGCTTACACAGCTTTAAGCAGTTTTTTAAACAAAGTAGGCCATGCCTCAGCATACGCAGTAATTTGTTATCAGTGACAGTTAATATTATCTATTGGTTATAGAGAATTGTTCTCTCGATAATTTTGAAGTTTTTGAAATAAAAATGACTACAAACGCAAGATTTAAATTGAACCATGAAGAAAATAGAGGTATAGTCTGTGCCCAATGCGGTGAAAAGATAATTTTTGGAAAATCCCTGCCCAATAGCATGTTTGTAAATAAGGTTGGAAAGATTGCTTGTTAAATTTAGAAATCCGAAATATAGTCTAAGCAATATCAAGTTTTTAACTGCAATTTTCGGTACATGCATGCATACTCTTTGCGAATATAAAAAAATATTAAAACACGCAAGATGGTGAAAATGCCAGACTCTGAAAAAGAAAATGTTATTACAAACTCTACTAGGAATATCCAAAATGAGGTGTGTGCGTGCAGAATATGCACAACAGGAAGATTCAAAGAAGGAAGGGGAAATACAAAAAACAAGGAAAAAAGGGCACAGGATACCGAAAATAAAATTATTTTGGGCAAAATATGTTTCACAAGAATTGGTAAAAGGAAAAAAACATATTTGTACGAATTCAGAAAGACATGGAAATGTCGTCAATATTATAAAAAAAATTACGCCGAAAACTCAAGAACAAGTCGTTTCTTCAGTTCTCAAGACCCGAGTATTAAAATCTAATAATTCATTATCTTCACGCAAAAATGCTTCTATTAGTCTAACGAAGATTGTCTACGGAAGATTGTATTAGATTTTTGAACGGTGCTGCGTTGGGCACATGGTCTGAGCAGGCTGGGGAGTCGATCCTTCGCGAGTTTATAAAATACTGGAATAAGTATAAAATCAATTTACTTGAACATCCTGATTATGGTGAACATTTAAAAAAGTTGTTGTAAATGATTCATAGTTTTCTGTAAAGTAATTTTAGGTATCATTATTGTTTAATAAATTAAAAGATTACTATTCTTAATAAAAATTAAATTATGAAAAAACTTCACTTTTTTCTTAAGTCTCGTGTCAAATTTGAAAATTTATTGATTTATAAAAAAATGGAAAAATATAAATAGTGATTTTTTTTTCGACTCTCCCTTTATATTTTAATTCTTGATTCTTTATTGAAAATTGATAGGTCATACTAATATTTTAGCGGAGTCCGCCTAAAATTGTAAATTTTAGACATCACTTCATCAATTATTGCAAGAAATACAGAAAATTGCAAAAAAATAAAAAAGAGGATCAGCTAGGATTTTCAAAAATATGGTTTTGGTGTGAGGAATAGATGCATATTCCAAAAATACAATCA